TTTCTTGTGCATTAGTCAATTCCAATACTTGATGTCAACGTTGTTTTACCATAAACAAATATATTTGTAGATAAGTATATAATTATATAAGGATTACTACAAAATAAAGTATAGATCGAATGAAAAAAATTTCTTCATTGCAATGTAATTCAAATAGAAGTGACATATACAAAAACAAACTAAAAAAAAAAAAACGAAAAAAAGCACAAAACACCATTTACAATTGGACATTATCCTTCATGAAGCATAGAACACATCCTAATATAAATTATATGTATGTGTTTTACATAACTTGTACACAAGATCACGTTCCGGCTAATCGATCATTTAGGACCCCCAACAATTTAAATACATAACATTCTTAAGAGATTCATCAGAATGCTTCAACTTCTCATCCTTACTACTCATAACAATGCTATTGGATTTAACACTTGAGGTTGAAGTTCTCTTAGCATGATCACTTGTGAATGATCGGATGCTTTTCGCGGCATGTTGTTGAATTGATTTCATAATAGGGTAATTCCACCTTGAACACTTTTTATCCTTTGTGGCCTCAAATGCTGCAATGCTTGATGCTACTACCCAGGTTCTTGTGTTGTTCATCTTCTTTGAAATCCTAGAGGAAAAATACCACAATTACGTCGAAAATTTGATATTATAAATCGTCCTTTACTTCTCAAAAATACTATGATTAACTTGAAGGTGAAAAAGAAGTAAGATTTCAAGGTTTTAATTAAGGGGAGCTAGCTAGTATTTTTGTTGTTTGGTATTTTGGTTGAATAATAAATGTTGATTGATGAAAATATATGTTACACATAGTTTGTGTATTTATAGATTTGGGGATTTTATTATGTTCTCTATAATTGGGTGCACATGGAAATGAAGATGAGTCATGTTGATAAAAATTTGGAGTAATACAGTTGATCAACGTGTCCTTCTCCCAATGGTAGTGGCATTTTGAGTAAAGAAGATTCACGATCAATTTTGAACCCACGTAACGAACCGATACAAGTTTAGACCCTATTTTCCTGAGCTTCTAAGCAAATAGAGTAGAACAGAGCATAGTAGGTGTCAGCAGAGCAGAGTTGAGCAGAGTTCAGTAGAGCAACTAAAAAAAAAAAGCCATACTCAATTTTTGAGTCCATCTTTAGAAATGGAGTAATATACTAGTACTTCTTATTTTATTATGTGAAACTTTGTTTTAGTAAATTAGAATCCTTCCGTTTTTAGAAGTACTAATTTGTATTGTTTTGGTTTTGCACAACATAAATAATTCGTTTTAGGTTGTTCTATTTTATATTTTCTACTGTTTTTTTTCATAATTGCAGTATGTCACTCAAAACAATCTTATAAATTTCAGGAAGAGATTTAAGAAGGTAAGCTTTTTAGGGCGTGTTCGGCACTAGCTTTTGAGTACTTTTAGGTAGCTTTTAATGATTTGACCAAGTCAAACCACTACTAAAAAAAAAATTAATGAGTGTTTGGCAATGTAGCGCTTGAGGTAGCTTTTAGTGGTGAAGGTAACTTTTATCAAAAGTTAGAAATATTAGTTTTTGAAGTTAGAGGTAGCTTTAGAGGTAGTGGTTGAAAATTTAATCTATAGTTTTAAAAATAAAATATTGATTTTTATGTGTAACATCTAGTCAACCGCTACTTTACCTGATAGGGGTGTCACGCGTACCTAACAAAAATTACTTAACATGACCACTACTATGTAGATAGGCAAGTAAGGATCGAATCCCAATAGACTATGGTTTAACTAATTAAACAGACTCAAATTATCACTAAGCAAGTAACCAAAACGAACAACAGTGAGAATTAATAACTAAAGGACTAATTAAAACGATTAAATCTAAATAATATAATAAATCGAATGCTAAAAACATCCAAGATCAAACATTACCACGAATACAATTAACGCAATAGTCGCTCTACCCCTAACATATAATTCAATTGATTAACGAGGAAAAGTAATCCCTAAATAATACCAATGGTATCTCCCAAGTTATCAATGACTTCTTTAATCACAATCAAGCCTACTTCCATGGAATCATGTAAATTAAAGACTTTGAGCACATTACTCTAATTTCCTAATCATCCATTCAACTACTCCCGTGATGAACTTCACTAATTGATTTATTCAAACTCGTCAAAACCTAACTGCCGTTGCGATTAAAATAATGTATTAATAACAATACTAATTATCCCTAATCTAGTATTGGCATGAGCACAATCAATTAAGCATATCAATTGCAATTATCATTAGAGAATTTAAATAATTAAATCATGCATCAATCATATCCGGGTTCCGCTAGATCTTGGAATAAGGGAACTACTCACACATAGTAATGAAAATAATAACAAGAATTAAGAAAAACATAATTAACAATCAAAGGAATTAAAGAGAATAAGAAAATAACGAATCTTGAATTACGAGAGATAAATGAAGAATCTTGAGTGCATAATCTTGAATTACTATACAATGAAAATAAAATCTAGAGAGAAAACTAGGGTTCTAAGATTATAGATAATGAGATAATAATGCTAAAGTGTATTTATAATAAGGCTAAAAGATAGGATTAATTAAGGAAAGAAATCGGACTAAAACGACCCAAAATCGACCAGGCATGGGCGTGCCACACAGGACATGCCCGTGCCCAAAGTCAAAATTGATCTTTCTTCAACTTCCAGCAAGACATGGACATGTCAAATTCTGACATGGGCGTGTCTCATTGCGCTAACTTCACTCGACGAGGCATGGGCATGCCTGCATTCAACACGGCCATGCTTCCCTTAGCACGTAGCTTCTAGCTTGAAGCACTCAACTCGACATGGGCGTGCCTCAAATAGACATGGGCATGCCTCAAATAAAACTTCAAATTCAACTTTCTGCCTCTTCAAAACACAATGACACGCCCATGTCTCTGAGTGACATGGGCATGTCTGGCTGGAGATTAGCTTTAAATGACTTCAACTTCAAACATTGGCCTTCTAAGTGAATTGCAAGCTATGATCAAGATCCGCAACTTTGTAAAACCTTCAAATAGCTTCGTTAAATCCTAAAATACATCAAAAACAACGAATCTACCCATAAAAGCATCATATGATCACAACCAAACAAAATTAAGTCAAAATGAGCTATGAACAATAAATCTAGACTCGAAAATTACCTAAAAAGACCCTAAAAACACGTACAATATACAACTTATCAAACTCCCCCAAGCTAGACCAATGCTTGTCCTCAAGCATTGAACCATGAAACACAAGAAGAGTAAGATAGCTTCTCAAATGAAAATACATGTGCCATTAACCAAAAACCTAATGAAAAATAAGAAATTCAATCCAATGTTCACAAAACCACCATAAACTTCATATAATTAGAATTGACAACCTATCTTACCACACATCTCCCCTAACCAACTCAAAAAAACATGAATAGCTCCTCACTTTAGTTGTGCAAAATAAAACAAACAAGCCACTCATGTGTTTACGGGGTAGAATAAGAAATCACTCATCCTAGGCATAGAATGCATATCAACTTCATGTTATCATCCTCTTTAGACTTGCAAATTGACTTTCTCCACTTATAAAACGAAGATGCAACCACGGAAATCAAGAATTCCTTAAAAAGGGTAGGCTTGGTTAGTAGCAAGGTTGGATGATGTTATTTGGAATGTGGTGCTCAAAAAATATAAAAAAATTCTAATCCCACTACACAATCCAATGACGGGTTCAACCCAACCTTATTTCCTCCAAACTTCATATACAAAGCTGCCCTTTTATTTCACACATTTTTTCTTCTTCTTCTTTTTTTTTTTTTTTTTTTGAGACATTTTTCTCTTGGAACTCTCATTTGAATTTTTTTTTTATTTTAATTTTTTTTTTGAGAATACCTTCTGACATAGTAGCACGAATGAGACTATAATTGTCCCCTTTTTCCTTCTTTTGTTGCTATATTTTTCAACTTATTTTTTTTCCAAACTCAAATTTTTTCTCTTTTTCAGAATTCTTCTTTTTTCTGTATTTTTTCTAGCACTGAACACTTCATTTCACACGTCACTCAATAGGGCTTGAAATATACAATAATTCTCCTTCAAAATAAACTTACAAAAAGACTCTATGGCTTTAACACAAGGCATCAAGAAAAGGGTAATCATGGCTCAAAGTGGCTCAACCTAAGAGTGAATGTAAAGAACAAATAAAATTTTGTAGACCTAAGAAATTGAGGCTCTAAATATCTACGAAGGAAATTTAATCATTTTTCCGCAATATGCATCATTAAGTCTCAAATAGTCAATAAGCAAATCCAAGATTCAAATCACATGAAGGACAACTAATCACACATGGAAAAGAATAAGACTGAAATACAGTGAAATCAATTGAACATGGCTCAAGCATCTCACTAGGTACACAAGCTATCCATATTGGTCGAGCGAGAGACCATTGTAGCCACAAACAAGTTCAATTCCAAGCCAATTAGTGAATGGGTTTTCAAAAACAAGTTTTTCAACTTTTAAAGTTACACATGTATCACATATCATCATTGAGGCATAGTCTTATAAAGACGCTAAAAATCAACCCAAAGTAAACTAACTACTATATACAAAGCAAAAAGTAATCCCTCTCCCGGGCTAAACTTCACATTGTCCTCAATGTGAATATATATCAAATAAGAACAAGCAAGGGAAAGAGAAAACTATGCCCTATTGGTCGGAAGAGGGATCATACTTAAGGGCGGAGCTAGGATCACCCTTGAAATAATGTCGCATCATATCCCCAAGACACTAAAAATTTGATAGGCGTGTCGCGTACCTAACAAAAATAACCTAACAAGACCACTACTATGTAGATAGGCAAGTAAGGATCGAATCCCAAGAGACTAAAAAAACAAGAATAAAGAAAATAAAAAGAAAAGGAAGAAAAAAAAAATCAAAAACACAATGGGTAGCCTCCCAGTCAGCACTTGTTTAAGGTCTTTAGCTCGACCCCTCTTTAGTAGCTCACCCTGGGTCACCACACGGAAAAGATACTTCGTGGTGTTGCTCGTTAATATATCTACCTCCAAACGACTCCTTTAGATTAGATTTGATATGCCTTGTATCCGAATTTACCTTCATGTAACTAAACCCATCATGTGGTGGAATATTGTCCTTTTTGCTTACAAAATTTCTATTTGAAACACACTTATCAACCAAAGGGTTAGTAGCATCAATTCTCGAACAAGTACCACCATCAAAAGTAAAATTATGGTCATTAAAAAGCTTAAACACGACTTGTTTGTCCTGAGCTCTAATGGTCACTTGTCCTTTAGGAACATCTATTAAAGCTTGACTTATAGCAAGAAAAGGGCGGCCAAAGATAAGCGGGATCTTATGGTCTTCTTTCATATCCACTACAACAAAGTCAACAGGAAAAACAAGTTCACCAACTTCAACTAATACATATTCACCTACACCCTTGGGGAGTCTAACAGTCCTATCAGCCATTTGAAGAGATATGAGGGAGGGTTTAAGTTTTTTCAACCCTAATTTTTCATACGATGAAGAAGGCATTAAATTAATGCTAGCACCTAAATCACACAAGACCCTATCAAAATGTGTTTCGTTTATCATGCAGGGGATAGTAAAACTACCAGGATCATGCAACTTAGGTGGTTGGCTCTCATGCAAAAGACTAGAGCATTGCTCATTTACTACCATACGTTCTAATTCCTTATCATTATGGTTATGATCTAAAACTTCTTTCAAAATTTTTGCAAATTGAGGCATTTGAATTAAAATATCAGAAAAAGGAATGGTACCATATACCTTCATAAGAGTCTCAGAATATTTCCCAAAATGCGTATCGAGCATGGCTTTTGATAACCTTTGCGGGAAAGGCATTGGTTCCTCATAGGCATGTGGAGCAACATATTTGGGACCTTCATTCTCACGCATTTTTGTTTTCGACTCCACATTGTGTACTTTCTCTTCAAACCCTCTTGTATTCAATTCATCTCTCTGCAAAAAAATAGTGAACTAATAAGTGTAAAATTCCAACGTTGTAGTTAAAAAAAAAAACAGAGGAAGTATTTTATTTTCATTTCACTCAGCTTTCTAGTTGCTGCTCACATAAAAAACCTTGTTTTACAAGGAAAAAATCACATTAATAATTCCAACTATAAGCGATTTACCTACTTGGGATATGATTATATTCTAATAATCCCACCTTTAATTTAATTTGCTACAGTTTGCCTCTAGCACCCCAAATGACCAATTACCTAATGAATGGGTAATTTTTTTTTTTATTATATTAATGCCGCGTGTTGCAATTTAAAAAAAAATAATTAAAAAAAAAACAGAAAAAAAACTAATCTACCTTTCCCTACCCCCACTCCCTCCCCTTGCCCCACCGTTAAACCCCAATACCCAACCCTTCTGCCCCTTTTCCCACCGTGTAAACCCCCAGCCTCCACCCCTCCCTTTCCCTACCAGTACACCCACAACCCCACCCCAAACCAACACACCCCCCTCACCCCTCCCTAACCCTAAACCCTGACACCACCCCCTCCACGAAATCGTTCGGAACTATTATACTTCCCTTGTTTTATAAGTGTTACAATTACCAAATTCGGCCATATTTTAATAAGTATTACACTTCCTTTTTTGGCAAAAAGTTATATTTTAATATTATATCCTTTTTTCTCATGATCCCCACACAAACCCACTACTATTTTTTTTATTATTATTTCTTTTCTCTCACATTCATTACACAATAAACTATTAACCACATTATCTTTTATTTATTTATTTTTTTTTACACAATTTTTTAATACTCCAACTACTCCACTTACCTCTTATTTTATTTAATTCAATTAAATTGCCTAAATCTATGTGCCGTTCAAAGTGTAACACTTATTAAAACATGGAGTGAGTACAAATGATGTGATCAATCATATTTGTGGTAGGGTAAGTTGTTTCGGTCGGTTTCGAGGATGAGGATTGTTAAGGGGGGAGTGTTGTCGGGGTTTGGCGAGGGGAAATTTTGGCCAGTTTCATGCGGGTGATTTAATTTAGGGGGTGGTGGTGGGTTTGCTGGGTCGTTTCGGGGGTAGAAGGGGCCAAATGGCCATTTTCGGTGGTTAGGGGGGCGGTGGCCGATCGATATTCGATTGGGCTAGTGGTGGCCTAGGGTTTAACGATGGAGGAAGGGGAGGAGTGGTGGCTAGTAAAGGGTTTGTTTTTTTTTTAGACTAATAACATGTTGACACGTGTCATGGTACCTGTTATAGCGGGTCGTTAATCGATTGAGCTTGCTGAAGGCAAACTGAAAAGGTGGGATTATTAGAAAAATACCAAAGTTGGGGTTATTCAGAATTTCAATTCAAAGTAAATCGCCCAAATTTAGGATTTTTAAAGTAAATTTGTCCTTTTTAGACCTCACCTCTACAACAAACCACGGTACCACACTACTTTTTTTTTCATTTTTTTTTATTTCACTCAGCTTCCTATCAGGCCTCACCCATTTCTTAAGTTTGTTTTTCTACCATTTTTTTTAATTTTTTTTTTCTTTGAGGAAAAGTTTCGTTTTTCTACTTTGTTGTCCTTAACTTTCCCTTCTCCTGCAACATTGTCAAGCTGAACACCTAATTGCCTACAATAAACTAAATTTCACAGCTTGCTACAATCAAGTTGTCCTTAACTTTTATAATCAAGCTAGGTATTAACATATGGATATCACAACAAAATTAGGGTTAGTTGTTGGACTAGTTAAAGAACAAATGGAACTATTTTCTACTCCAAAAGTCCTATTTTTGTTTTTTTTCCCCTTTCAAAGCTTTATAGTTTTTCAATTAATTACTGAGCTGATTTTCCCCTTGCTTTACTGTGCATAAGCTAAACTGCTCAAGTAATACAAGTGTGTGGTTCAACAACTTGTGTCTGTATTATGACTATTGTACTACATAGTTCTTAAATAACCTCCCACAACATTCTTAGGTGCCCAAATCTCATAAAAATTCTTTAAAAAAAAAAATGTCACTCAATTCACTTAATTAGAAGACATTATTTTGGTTTTCATTTCACTAAGAATGTCTCAAATAATACTCATACTTCTTTGTCCTGTTAAAAATAAAATAAAATTCTTTGCTTTCAAAAACTGCACCACTTTAAATAGCAATGAGTAACTTTGACAATGCATCATGTAATAAGTACTCATGATAAGTGCTAAACACCACAAGAATATTTTAAGCCAATAACTACAAGAATTTTATTGAATTTATTTGTTGCTTCAATTCACTCAACTTTCTGGCCCTGCTACTGCCTACGCAACACGGAAAAGCTTTACCCTGAAAGTCATAGATTCATCAAATAAGTTATGCATAATTTACAACTAGCAATTATATATATTCCTCTAAAGTTATTAAAGGATGTCAAAAACATATTTATCTTCGACAAGAGAGCTCACCAATTCAAGCAGATACATTGGATCTCTCTAATTTTGCTTCTTCTTTGCTGAAGAGATCAATAACACTTTGTACAAGAGGGTTCTGTTCGCCGAAACTCCAATAAGAGAGCACATTATGATGATTATGATGGCTGCCCAAAGAACCTTTGGGTATATAACCACATAGACCCCAGTCATAAATGCTAATATAGTGGAGTAAAACACTACCATGAGTAACACCATGCTACGATTAATCAATAACAATGAAATGAACGAATTACTCGAATCTTGGACCATAGACCATACAAGGCAAATCAAAACCAACATGGAAGTACACATAGCCAATGCATTAGACATCAAAAATACCAAAAATGCGACCTTCTTGGCTAAAAGTGCTTCCCCGCTTTCTTGATTTAATCCGCCCGGAAGAGTAAAACCAGCAGTAAATGTAATAGTGGCTAATAGAGCCGCCACCACAAATAGTGAATTTCGCACTTCTAACAAATTGGTCTTACGCTGGAAGTATGATGTTTTTATCCATGGATTAAACACGATTCTTTGGCACATTTCTTCCTGCACATGGTTTGCAATTAAATGGATAACTACATGTACACAAATTTTGTGATTTACTTAAAGTAACTTTGGGGTGTTATTTGTGAGATATAAAAAATTCTAAAGTTGCAATTAATATGTAAGGGAGGAAGTAGAAAAATTGAAAAGCATACCGATTCACTAACGTCTGTGCAAGCTTCGTATGCTAGTCCACATATATTATTGCCAACATAATTAATTCAATAAAAGTTGTGTTCATTGATATCCAAAGCTCGAATAGATCTTATCTTTTTGTGTTTTAAGGAAAAGGAAATGGTACAAAAGAGCAAAATTTTTATTTTTATTTTTTGCATTAAAGAAGCATCATATTCATATAATAAAATGAATCTTAATATATAGCAAATTTTATTGGAAAGAAATCATACCCATGCCTGGTTGCCAGCGCATTTCTGAGCCAATAGATCTATGGCAGAATTATTTCCATCATCCTTGATGTCATAGTTGATCTTATCAATGCTGAGTAAAGTTTCAGTCAAGAATAAGTTGTCATCTTGTATTGCTTTGTGTAAAGGTGTTACACCTTGAGAATCTTGAAGATTAATTAGATCCTCCATGTTGTATGGATTCTTGAGAAAATCTTCATAGTCTATTAAACTTGTAAGTTTTATATGATGTAAAGGAGAATCCTTTTTTTCAATACAAAGATATCGAAACGCTCTCGGATTATGTTCGATGAAGGCAAGAAGAGCTGGGACATGACCGTGCTCACATGCTTTAATCCAAGCCAAGGGTGCTCTATTGAATACAGACGGGTCCTTTTTCAGTACAGCTTTTATAAACCATGCACAACCAGTTTCATATGCTGTATCCCAAGGTGATTGTTTATTGTTATCCTGTTCGGTGATGAACTCTGGTGCTTCATTAACTAGCGATGTCCCAAATCCTTCATCTAATTTCATAGTTTATAAAAAAGTTAATATAAGAATCATGTATTCGATCTGATCCCTAACTTCATAAAAATCTCATTTCCTTTGACTTGTCTTTTCTTAACTATAGTTGTCAATTTCCAATTGCATTGGATCCAAAAGATAAAAATTAAAAGTTAAGCTTCTGAAAAGAGCATAATAATTTGAGAATGGTTTTCACCAAAAAAAAATAAAAAAAAATAATAAAAATAATAATAATAATAATTTAAGAATGGAGAGAGTATATGCTTTAAGCCTATAAAAATATACTCCTTTGTTCTTTAATTATCATTATCTTTCCATTCACTAGTCTGTTTATGTAAAATGAAATAGTAAGTACGACCACTTTTTTTTTTTTTAAAAAAAAATAGGTAGGAGTGAAAAGTTTGTTTATAAAATTTATGTGGGTCATATGGTGGGTAAAGAGTAATAAAAGTGGATATTTTCTTTACCATAAAAAGAGTAAAGCAAAATAAGAAGATAAAAAATGAAAAGTAGTAAGATAAAAAACTAAAATAAAATAATAAAAGAATGGAGGGAGTTTTAAAATTCATTTTCATATATATAGCACATTTGTTTTATATTATTTGCATTGCCTGGAATAATCCGACCATTGTCTCATCCGCCCAAAATAATCCCAACTTTCAATTATTTTATTAATAATCCGACGTTTGATGTCAATACGCTTAAAATGGTCCCAAGTGACCGGTAACCTATTAAATAGATAATTTTTTGTTGGGTTTTAAAGTACACATGTCACAACGTGATTTATCTAAAATTTAAAATTAAAAATAATAAATTTGAAAAAAAAAAAACCAGTCAGACCTAGCCACCCTAAAAATCTTTCTTTCTCTCTTTCACCACCTCCAATAGCGGCGATATCTACCATCTCTGAACCCACCTCCGCCGTTGTCGCTCTCATCGATGAGCTCAATAAGCGTCGCATTCCTCTTATCATCGTCGTCAAAGAAGAATACTTTGGGACGAAAAAGGGAGAGGGGTTGGAATCGCGACGTGAAAGGGGAGGAGGGCCGGAATTGGGACAGGGAAGGGGTCGGTGCGGCGGGGTTGGTGGTTTATCGATTAATTAATTGATTTTTTTTAAGAAATTAATTGATAATTTTTAAAATTTTCTTAAAAAATAATTTTAAATTTTTTTTCTAAATTTTATTTTTGGACCAATTAGGTGTTGATACGTGTTAGATAACTTGTCATAAAAAGTTAGCTGATCGGTTGGGACCATTTGAAGCGAATTTACATTAAAGGAGGTGGGATTATTTTGGGCGGATGAGGCAAAGGTCGAATTATTCCAGGCAATTTATCATTATCATTATCATATCTGTCTCCCTTCTTTTCACTAGGCGAAATTAGAAATATCTCCCTGCATGTCTTTGTCAAGTGTGAGGCAAAGTACCAATTGATAGTCAAACAACGTAATAACATAGAGTGCAACTAGGCGCATATCTGCTATTTATTTGGGATGCATATATGAGGGCTAATTGATAAATTCACATAATTTCTTTTATTGTTACTGTGGTATTTTTTGATGTACCATTATACATGTATTTTATACTACTATAGAATAGGTTATTTTAGTAGTACTATTTATAGCCATTATAAGTAATAGTGGTATAATATTTGATGACAATTTATTTACTTATTTGTACCACTAGAAAAACATTTTTCATCACTCTTTTGTCTTATTCATGCTATTTACTTGCCATGTAAATAACAGCTATGCGCCAATACTTAACCAATACAATATACTCTGTATCTTTTATCTCGTAAAATTATGTGTAATAATAAATGCTAAATATTATTCTATGAAGGAACGAAAAACTATTACCTGTTAACCTTGTAGCAAGATGCAATATATTCCAACCAGTTGAGGAATCTTTTAGATATTTGGTCCTGCTTCTCTTATCCAAATTTCCCAATATGTCTTTGGCTACTTCAGAGCAATTGTTTTGTATGGCAAGAAACAACATAGCGTGCTCTGGCTTGTAATTATCTAGCAGTTCATCCATAATTTGATCATCCAGGAGTAGTGACAATATGTATAGTCCAAGATCTTCACGTTTGTTGCGTAATGCCAAGTGTAGAGGCCCTTCGTAATCTTTATTCATTTCAAACCATGGCAATTGATAGATAGGATATACTCTCCAAATAAGGTTGTGTTTTTTGTAAGCTTCAACAAGGAGTGGTACAATCTGGTTTGTTGCTTCATGAGTGGTAGTTGCAGCAACATGAAAAGGATTGTTTTGATAATTGTAATCCTTAACATTAATAAGTTTTACAAACTGATCTTTCCACTTGCTCTCTAATATGAACTTAAATAGCCATTCTTTGTCACTTTTTATCCAACTATGAACTATTGTAGATCCTTCTTTATCTACTCCTTTGATTAATTCTGGATGTTTGTCCATTAGTTTTGCAATAAAGTTTTCTGCTTGTAAAGAAGAATTGCTATTTAATATTTTTTCTACAATCATTCATAATTAAACAATATACGTAATAAAAAAAAAAAAAAAAAAAAAAAAAAAAGACTAATTTTATTTTGTAATTTACTTCCTTTGTAGTTTTTAAGTTAACTCATTTGTCAATGCATAAATTCAACTGTAGTATCTTTAAAGAATTATTATTAAAATTTACTTGTATAAAAAGTTGGTTTTTGAAATTACAAATCGAAAACAAAATTAAAATGATCAGACATGATTATGTTCGTTTTTTAGCTAAATTATGTTACATATATAATGTCAAAAGTGAAATGTATCAATTGTTAAAATTGACACTCTTTTTTTTGGAAGTAGTATTTATAATATCAACTTTTAATAAATCTAAACTATGAATAGTTAAAGTTATTAGTAACTGCAAATTTGTGCACGATGAATTATGTGTAAAGTCGATCGACATGGTACAATTAAATAAATAATTGGCAACTTTTTATTTATTTAATTTAGGAAACATTTTGCTTGAGATTAGACTCAACGTGTGTCCAATATATCTGACATTAATAATCTAATATTTGACATTTATAATCTAATATCTAATATGAGAAATCTAATATCTGACATTACTAATCTAATATTTGACATTAATAATCTAATATCTGCCATTAATAATCTAATATCTAACATGAGAAATCTAATATCTGACATTAATAATCTAATATATGACTATAGTAATCTAACATTAGTAATCTAGTACGGAGTATTTGAATTCTGACAATAGTAATCTAATATATGACATGAGTATATTAGATTACTAATGTCAGATCTGATATTATTAATGTAAGATGTTAGATTAATAATGTCATATATTAGATTATTAATGTCAGATATATTAGACTCATTGTGAGTCCGACTCACCCAATTTTTTTCGTTTATTTTATATTCTCGTATAATTAGTTAATTAAAAAACTTCGTTCTTTCGCTTTTTATGAGATGAAACATTTTACTCTGTATTTGTGGGCATATACTGGTAAAATTTGAAGGGTCAAGATTGAAAATGGTTTCAATGGCTACAATTTTATTATAGCTATTGAAAAGTCATCCTAAATTATAGATAATATATTGTGTAAATTATATAGCACCATGTCAACTTAAGATGGATAAATCATGACAAAAATGTTTTATTTCTTTGCATTGCTTTAGGTTTTAGTGGATAGTAAAGATGACAAAGAGAAAACTAAAGAGATATCCATATTTTTATCTGATAACGATGACCAAGTCAAAAGTAGTTAGAGTAGAATCTTTTCTTAATTATAATTTGTGAATATTCACTAATATCTATCTCGTTTAACAGCTTGTATGTATATTTTCTTAGTTTGTTATTATCTTTTGTAAACCTAGATTACAGTACTTCTTAGGTATATAAATACATATTAAACCTAATGAGAATATCATCAACTTCTCACATACTCTATTATCTTATATTATCTATTATCAATAATAATGCTATAAGTGAAAGTTAAAAAAGAAAGATAAATAAATCGTCGACTAACCTGTGCATAATGGAGCAAGATGCAAGATATTGAGCTTTTGATGATTCGTAAGAAGTTGAGTTCGACCTTTGTTATCGATTATCTTCAATATCTCTTCGGCAACTGTATGACATTGAGCCTCGACAGCCAAGAATAGAACATTCTTCTTACTTTCGATAACTACATTTTCATCCACAGACAACAAATATATTGCTAACTTTTCATTCTTATGGGCTATGGCCAATGACAAAGGTGTATCTCCATTTTCATCCATTAACCAAGGATGTTGATTATTTGAAAGGCTTGGTGATTCTTTTTTGTAAATATCTATCAGCAATTCTGCAATTTTTGTAGCATCTTCTGTACACGGGGCATATCTAGCCTAGTCGTGTAATGGATTGCCACCATAACTATTTGTTGAAGATACAAAGTATGTGAAAATCTTATTCACATCTTGGATGATATCCTTACAATCTAAGAGAATTTTGAATGGCCAAATTTTACCATAATATGCCCAGAAATGAAATGCCGAAGCTCCATTCTTATTTTTTTGTTTAATTAGCTCTGGCTCTCTCTGAAGAAGTCCTCGAAAGATTTCTTCTGATACTTCTGTTATAAAAAAAAAAAAAAAAAAAGGTTTTCAAAGATTATAATTATGTACTTGTGTGTATATTTGTGTGTTCATGTATATATACATATACTGATATACATATATTTGTATATGTTAACTCTCACTAAATTATACGGAGTACTTTATAAAGAAATAGGTAATCACGTAATAAGATTTTATTTGATTCATATTGATGTTAGACGTACCTAAACTTCTCCTTATATCTTGTCTTACTTCTTTAAAAAAAAAAAAAAAAAAAAAAAAAAAAAAAAAGTTGGTGTTGTACGAAGTACAATATTATTTTAATACAACTTTCTCATTAAGGTGTTTGTTCCATTTTGACTTACCATGTGTTTTTTCATCTTGTAACTTAGACCCACACTATTAATAATGAAATTTTATGGATTTTTTTTTTTTTTTATTAAAATCGATTGTTTTGAAAAACTACCTTATAAAATATGTTATAATAAAGTAGTTTAGTTTATAAAGTGTGTATAAAATTTTATAATAAGGTTTCATGCTTTCATTGCCATATTCTGGGAGTTTAACTACTCTTTCAACATTTACTTTTCGATTATTTTATTTTACTTTTTTCTTCTTTTTCATAAAAAATTAATAAGATAGTTTCCTATATTAAAATATTTATTTGTAAAAGAACTATTAGAAAAAGTATTACGTTCATTATTGAAAGATATTAATAATAACCATGTTTACCTGAGCCTTCAATAAAATGTATTGAGTGGAATGGAGTGTAGCCATCGTTTCCGCCGCCGCAACTGATAGGATGGGGAGACCTCAATATCACTAAAGCTAACTTGCTCATCTTCGTGTGCACGGCTTCGTAGACTAAGGAGCTACCACGATCACTAGGCATATCGGAAATCAACTCCGTATCCATTTTATAAATTTCCACCGCACATTCTTCTTGATAACGAATAAGAGCCACAAAGCAAGGGTTATCTCCCATGTTATTCTTCAATAACCAGGGTCGTTGATGTTCCAAAAGATGAGATGGGAATGTTGGTAAACAACGATAAACATCTTTACTATCTCTACATTACCAACAAAGGCTGCTACGTGAAGAGGGTTATACTTGTAAACTTCGTCCCCGGGTTGAACAAGGAGTTGCTGCTTGGCTTCTTGAGGTAAAATCCCCATGGCTTCTCTTATAAACTCTTCTTGGTTTTCCATCGTCGCCATGTGGAAGATGTTGCCATAATGACATCTTCCTGATTGTTCTTCTTCCATAGGGAAGGAAGTCAAGTAGTATTCGATGGGTTTATTTGATTCAACACAGTATTTTAGGAAGTCTACATCTCCTCTCAATGCTGCCTTTCTTAACTCTTCATCCATTTTAGAGGATGTCATGATTGTATGGTTACTTTGGGTTTGGTTTAATGGAGGAGAGTGAAATTAATGTAGTGTTGTTTGGGAAAGGAAGTCCCACAGTCACACTGTAAAGTCAAGAAAACGAGTCAAGTATGAGTTTATGGGATTGTTTGATGGACGGTGGAGATGAGGGAGTTGTGTAAAGGAGTGTGTCTCGGAGAGGTGGTCTGCCAAGTGCGGTAGTGTGGATCACATGGGGCGCTGTAACCTATTGTGCTTTCGATTTAAGTTTTATTTTTGTTTTTTTGAATAATCCAAACAAATAATTTTTGTTATCGTGATTATGAAGTAATTTTTCAAATTTCTAGATTACTTTGACCACTTTGTTGACCGTGATTAAAGGGATCAAAGTTCACACAAACCATAAGCGTTATTTATATTGAGAGTGAGGGATAGCTTAGTTGGTAAGAGCTTTTTTTCCGATTTCAGGTGATTTTGGGATCAATTCTCATCCCCGCCCTAGTGGCTTATATGAACCAAAAATAAATAAGCATTATTTATACTACCTCTGTTATGTATTATTTGCAACGATTTGACATAAAATGTGACTGAAAAACGTTTGATAATTGCAAATAATATAAAACAAATGTAATATTAGATTTGAATATAAAATCGTCATGTCATACCTTATATTTTATTTTTATGTATAGAATAAATGACTATGTGAATAACAAATTTAATTACGAGAAAATTGAGTCATAAATTAAATGTATACTACCCTGTAATGACCAAAGGAATTACTCTGTAATAATTTATATTTTTTTGAGGAACCCTACCTTTTAATTGAGTCCGAGTATGAGGATATGCTTTATAACTTGCATTGGGACAATTGCTTGCTTGTTTGTAGCAAATTTTTGTTATGTAACTTAATTAATAATTTAAATATGTTATGTTTAGTCTTTATACGCTATGTTTTTTCTAATTTTTACACCAATATGATATAAAAGATAAAGTTTATTAGGGATAATACAAGCAATTATAGGTATATCATAAATTCCAAAAAAAAAAAAAAAAAAAAAAAAAAAAACCGGACCATTTGGAGGTCCGAATAAACGTACTGAATTTGGATCCAAAAATTACGAATCGGATCGGACTCAGACTCGGATTTTTCGAATTCGGATTTGGATCCGAGTCCAGGGTCCGTTTACTAAACGGATCAGGTTCAGATTTAGCCGCATCCGACCCGAATCCAATCTGTTGCCATTCCTACACCCACCCCCACCTTCCAAGTAAAATGTTTTCGCGCCAAGTATGAGAGACCTCATGCCACATCCACACTTCAAGCCTAAAAGGTTCCCATATGAGGAACGTGATAGAGTATATAAATTGATAATTGAGTTCAACCATCAGTATTTACTAAAAACTTACAGACATATCAATGCATGATAAAATAAATTATTTATAATATTTAAATGATAAAATAATAAATTAATAAATATTGGTAGTAGGTAGTAATATAGCTGATGAATCTTGTTCGGATTTTAAAATATACTCCCTCCGTTTTTTGTAAGTGTCCTTTGAATTATTCGTTAAACATACTTAGACCAATATTTGTAAATTATACATAAGAAAAAATAGTCTTGTGGATACTTGTTGGAATCATCTCAATGACTAGATTATTAATATTCAATTGTTATAATTTATTTATCATATATTGATCAATTCTGAGTTGATGAAAGTTGTCCTTCAAGCTGCATGATCTTTTCTACCTTTTGGTTCAATATATATTTCCAAATGAGCCCTAGTTGATGATAACTCATTCTGAGTTGATGAAAGTTGTCCTTCAAGCTGGCTGATCTTATACTCAATCTCTGTGGATTCTGAATTTCCCATATTTTCACCAAATTTGAAAAAATTAAGATTTAAAACACCAAAAGGAGGTATGGGTGTGTAAATTTTGGCTTAAATTAACAAAATCTAAGAAATGATCATACTATAAGTTGTTACAAAGGTTTTGCTTAAGAAGGGGTTAAATTACATTTGGTTATATGTAAGGCAAAATAATGTATATATTATTTCCTTGTGCATAGGGTTGTTCATCGGTCTAAGACTGGACTGGACCAACCCAGACCGGACCGAAGACCGAAAAATTGAATTTCAAGAACCGAAAATCGGATCGATTAAGCTATGACCAAACCCGGACCGGACCGTAAAAATCGGTCCAAAACCTGGACCGGACCAGTTTAGACTGATGTTAGAATTTTTATAAAAAAATTTTCCTAAATTTTAAATTATTTATGAAAAACTCGATAAAAATATAAAGGAAAAACAATATTTTAACCATTTTTTTTTAATATGTTTAGTATAAAATAGCTCATACGACTAAGTTTTCCAAGCTTGTTGAGAATAATCTTAATTATTATTAAAAATTTTATGTATAATTTTAAGCAAAAGACCGGTCCGGTTCAAGGCTGGTTATTATAGGATTTCGGTCTTCGGACCGGAAAAATAAATTTCTCGATCCGGAGACCGGATCAATTGATTCGGTTCGGTCCAGTCCATTTTTTCGGTTCGGGCCAATTTTTGAACACCCCTACTTGTGCATGAGTTAATTCCTAGATTATATTAAATGATGAAAAATATATTCTTTTCCAAACTACTTGCCACCAAAATCGAATAAATAATTCTGAAATATTAGTAGAGAGAAAACTTGATTAAAAAGGCCAAATTATGTAATATAATAACAAATATACAGTTGATACAATATAGTCAAAAACCCAAGGCGGGCGACCCAGGCGACCCAACTATATGTGAATTAACTTAGTTGGTAAAGTATTAAAAATAATCGTAAGACATTACATTAAGTCTTGTCCACATCATTAATTAACGAAACTCTAAAGACTAATTATGACCCCAACAGCTTAAGTACATGACTTTCCTAAGAGATTCTTCAGATTGATTCAATTTATCATCTCTAATTTTTTGGGAAATTACAGAAGAAGATCTAACATTATTCTTAGCATGTTGATGAAGAGACCTTATTGCATGATTCCACCTTGTATAACCTTGATCTTTCATTCCTTCTATTGCTGCTACTACTATCCATGTTCTGCTTTTTACTGAACTCATTCTTTCTGAATTAGAAACTTAAAATGTAAATTTTCTTAAATTTGGGAATTATTTTGGAAAATGGTTGATTAATTTGATTGAAAGTTTGAAGCTTGAAAAATGGTTGATTAATGGGGGTTTGGTTGGATTTATAAAGGAGGAGAAAGATGGTTTTTTTTTTTTTTTTTTGACACAAAAGATGGTGATTTGTTGGTTGTATTGGCAAATACAAAAGGAAGGGTGCCCCTGGTTTTTTGGGACAGTTAATGTGAAAGTGCGCACTCAAATACAGCCAAAAAAGGTTCATCGAATTAATAGAAATTCAGAAATAGAATAATTTTTGTAATTTACTCATATTTTAATATGGATAAGGTGGGATTACCGATTACGTGTGAGAATCTTTTATAATTTTGGAAGTATTATACACTAGGAAGTTGAATTACAAATCAACATTAATTGAGACATTTGTCTTCTTCTACAGGGAGAATTAAGTGGATTGCAAATAAATCAATATTTATGTTTAATACAAAGTATTAGGTATAAAATGAGAAGATTATAACACGTACGTTCCCATATAGCTATATGCCTATATGACAATATTTAATATTATGTATAAAACATCAACATTGATTAAAGTAGTGTTAGTCATACTAAGACATTTTAAAAACGAAAGGAGTATTGAAAAAACGTAATAAGTTAATAACAATATAATAACATCAATTTGAAATATTTATTGTAAATTTTAGTTTTATAACGATAAGTTTAATTTTGGTTTGGATGATAATAGGCTATATAAATGACTAGTTATGGAGTATTAAGTTAAACTATAGATTGGACAAAGTCATATACTCATTTTATCATATTTACTTAATTATTATTATTGTAGATAACACATAAGTTTTACTCACCAAAATAAAAAAAAAAAAATTTAAAAAAAAAAAAAAAAAACTAGTGTTTTCCATTGTAGGCTTGTAGTGTATTTATTTTTGTAATTTGTTGAATGGATAAGTTGTAATAATTAATAATGGGTAAAAACTTAAACATCAAAAAAGATGATTTTGGATTAAAAAAAAATTATAATTTTAGATATAAGGTGAGAGGAATATCACGTGGGCTTTGGTTAAAAAAGAGCGTGTGATTGGCAACATTATTGAAATAGAAATCCAACGCAATTAAAGCGTGTTTGGACGTGCATCCCCCATCTCTATATCACGAGGAGCAACACCAATACCCCTGTGACGAGGGATGCTGGTCAATCTTTTAAGGTCCACCTGTTCGGATTAACATAATGCTTGATCGGTTTGGATTATGTCAGTTTAAATCATGTCATATGTGGATTGGTTTGGATTATATCAGTTTAGAATTTAGATCATGTCATATGCGGATAATTAAGTTATAGCCTTTTATACATGAAGTAGTTGATCTAAATATAATTGAAATATTTTAATGTTTATCATTTCATTTTTAATTTTAGGCACTTGAGTTAATATTGAATAATCTAATTTTAGGAATAATATGGATTTGAAGTTAATTTAGGTATGATACGTACTTACGTACTATCTATTAATGATGATTCTTAGTTATTCCACCATTGTGTAGAACTACTTTACTTTTTTTTTTTTTTATTATTATTATTATTATTATTATTATTATTTTGACAAAAGTACGTAGAACTACTTTACTAGCTTGTGAATTAGTTAGTTCCAATATTTGATTAATTGATGATCAATGTAAAACCGCTTATTTTACCATAAACAAATAAATTTGTAGATAACTATGTAAGGATTTCTAGGGAAATACTTTATAGAGAAAGAATTTCTTCATTGCAATTAGAATAGAAGTGACGTACCAAAAAAAAAAAAAAAAAAAAAAAAAAAGCAAATGCAAGCTCCATTTACGATCGGACATTTAACTTTGTGAAGCATCAAACACATCCTAATATTCTATAAAAAACTTGTACACAAGGTAGCGTATTGGCTAATCGATTAATTAGGACCCCAACAATTTAAGTACATAACATTTTTAAGGGATTCATCAGAATGCTTCAACTTCTAATCTTTGCTATACTTAATATGAAAATTCTAATGTAATCTTATGACTTTTAACTACCATAATTTTTTAAAATGGATGGTTGAAATTATTTCTTTTTTGATTTATTTTTAATTAGTAATTTTAATTAAAAATTATTTTTTAATTTTTTTATATATTTTTAAGGGGGGCTAGTATTGTATGTTTGGTTAATTTATAAAATGTTGATTGATGAAAATATATGTTACACTTTGTTTATGTACATATGGATTTGGGAATTTATTATGTTCTCTATAATTTGGTGCACATGGAAATGAAGATGAGTCATGTTAATAAAAATGTTGGAGTAATACAATTGATCAACGTGTCTTTCTCCCAACGGTAATGGCATTTAGTAAAGGATTCACGATCAATGTTGAACCCACGTAACGAACCCATGTTTGATACGTGTTACTCAATTTTTGAGTCCATCTATAGAAATAATATACTACTAAAGTATTTTTTTTATGTAAAGCTTTGTTTTAGTAAATCAGAATCCTTCCATTAGTAATAATTCGTGTTGTTTTGGTTTTGCACATGCATGAATAATTTGTGGTTGTCCACTTGTCCTATTCTATATTTTTTAACTCGTAGTTTTTTCATAATCGCAATATGTTATTCTAGCAATCGTATCATTTAAAGGTTATTTAAGAAGGTAAGCTTACAAAATACGGAGTATTCAATTAAATTGACACTAAATGTTCAACATCATTCTTGCGGTTTACAATTAAAGGAATTTTAATGTTCTCTAAGTTTCAATAAATTTCAATAGTAAGGTCTAATAAATTTCAATTAGGTCTAATAAGTTTCAATTAGTTCAATAATGTCTAAAAAAATTTCACCAACTTTAATAAATTTCAATCACATCTAATAAACTTAGATAAGTCCAGTTTAATCAAGTATAGATTTAATCAGGCAAGTGAAGAGCCATTATTAAGATTTCAACCTTAAGCATTTAAATTCAAGATAAAATCCTTGCCAAATGAGCTTGATAACACTAAGGGGGCATATGGTTAGTGTATTTTTTCGATTGAAAACGAATTTGATTAAATAGATACCGTTATCGTGTATTTGGTTTGAAGACATGATAACAATTAACAATTACCATTACCTAAGGGTGATGGTTACCCCTCATTGTAACCTCTCAAAAACTTGGGGTAACAAATAAGGGTATTTTTTACCTCATTTGTAATTTAAAAGCACTTTAAAAGGCCATTGTAAGTGAATAATATTTGAGGTAGAGATGAATTTAAGAGTTTAAATGAAAAAAGACTAAATAAAAGAATAGTTTTAAGAAAGTTTTTGAAATTTGTAAAATCATATACGACAATTGAGAAGAACAATGAAAGTAGGATCAATTTTGTATACAAGTATTTAAATATAAAAATTTTTTTAGAGTATGATTAACTTTATCGTAAAGTAGAAATTTAAATGATAATATTGGAAATGTCTTTTCAAATTACAAATTGAAAAATATTGAAAGCCATAACTTCAAAGTTATTATTGTTATTATTATTATTATTATTGTCCGTTTTTAAGGAACAAATAAAAAAGATAACCCTAGCTAAAAAAAAAAAATCTGTTCAACAAATATGCATGTCATTTTTGATCAAATAAACCGTTTCAGCAAATAGCATCAACTAATTACAATTTACCAAATATAGAACACCAAGCCAAATCTTGAACTGATAGTTTTTTTTATTAAATTATAATAAAAAATACAAACTATATGACCTTCGCAAAATATGGAATTGCAAATTACATTGTATTTAATTCATTAATGCTATTTTTAATAATAATAAAAAAAAAAAAAAACACCATCTATTAAAAACAATCTAGGTTTTAAGAACCCAATAAACATAAAATGCACTTAGAAATCTTTCTTCCAACCTCTATTACAATTGTACAACTAAACCCAAACAAAAACAACAAAAAAATAAAAACCCAACAATTACGATAAACCAATATCTATCTTTGAAAAATGACCGATGCGTTGTATCTTGGACCAATCTTCTTTGTTCGACGGTTGGTACCTCTCCTTCAAGCCTTGACAATTCTTTATAGTAAGTGTGGTTAAGGAGGTGAGGTCAAGGATGGCTTGTGGTAACACTGTTAATTTGTGGCATTCAATGATATGAAGGGATTGAAGAGATGTTAAATGCTGGATTCCCTGTGGGAGGTTCTCCAGTTCAGGCAGATTGTGCAAATGCAGGCTACAGAGATTGGTCAGGGATTCCCAAGGCATATCATCCTCCACGTGTTTGAATTGGGGTAAATCCCTGAGTCTAAGATCCCGGAGAGAAGTAAGATGCTGGAACCCCACTCCAGTTAGACTCTCTAGATGGATCCAACCTCGAATTTCTAACCTATCAAGGAAGGAAAGACGGCTCCACCACGAATCCCCAACTATTACCATTGACAAACTAGTTAGTCTCCAGGTCGTGTCTAGTCTTATAAGTAGGCTATCAGGTTTCCATTGGTCACCCTGCATACTAAATGGATAAGATGCCGGATCCTCTTGTTGACGGAAATCAGAACTCAAAATCAGTATTTTCAACTTAGCACTCAGAGGAATGGAGGTTATAAGGCTACCGAATATGCACATCGAGGAAAGGTGATTAAAACGATGTGATACTGGGTGCAACATTTGTGGTGTGGAGTCTTCTCTATGCCATGTTTTCAGATCTTTTAAAGTATTTAAATGAAGTGCCTCAAGGACTGGAAAGAATTCGGATTGATCATCCGTACCCTCTTCTATGTACTTCAATCTATGTAAATGCTCAAGTTTAAGGACTTTCAGATAACGCAATCGACCCAACCAAGGGATATGCTGCAAATAATAACATGAACGAAGGGAGAGCATGGTAAGGTTCGGAAGGGATTTCTCCAAGTCCGATGATGATTCCCAGTTAGGAAATGTTCTGCCTTGATAGCTAAACAAAAGGAAGCTCTTAATATCAGGATGGGGTTGAAGACCTTCAAGCAATAACTTTGTACCCCGGAATACAGAAAGTTCTTTGAGATATTTCATACCCTTGACATATTTGGAGCCTGGGGCGACATCACAATAATTTCCATGAACATGAATTCTAAGACTTCCCCTGACGTTTGTAAGAGCTTCCAAGTCTTGTAGCTTGCCTTCAAAAGTTGACTCTGAGGGATTGAATTTTGCAACAAACATTGATAGCCTATATAGGCAAGTTAAATTATTCAACCCCGTAGGCATATGAGTCAACTTGTTGCAACCCAATATATCCAATTCCCTAAGATGTACGAGTTTACTCAAGTTCTTTGGTAACTCTGTTAACATCGTACAATTCTTTAGCTGTAATGTCTGCAAGTTCAGTAGCGAGCAAATAGCTTCAGGGAGACACACTAACAATTCATCATTTGACAGGTCAAGATGTCGCAAATGATACAGTTTATCTATTGTGTCAGGCAAGGCTGTAATACTCATGTGACATAAGCTCAAAGCCCGTAAGTATCTTGCCTTGGATAGTAATACTGTTTCAGTGTCCAATGAAAGGTTAAAAGTACCTTTCATCTTCCCTGATAAAAATATTGTATGCAGGTGTCTCATCTGACCCAAAGAGGCTGTAAAGCTTTGGACGTCAATATTGCCTAAAGACAAGTGCCTAGCGTTTATCTTCAACTGGTCTACATGAGCTACATTATTAGAATTTACCACTACTATGTCTTCTTCGGCTACTCCTTGAGCTACATCATGCATTAGATCGTGGATCTTGCATGAAGTAATCTCACCCAATTTATCTATTTCAATATCATAAAAGAAACACCTTAGCAACAAAGTCATAAAATACTCCTTTCCAGCATCTTCAACACAACCAGCTTCTGGCTCTATGAAACCGTGCGCCATCCACATACTAATCAAAGTATTCTTGTCTATTCTATAATCCTTAGGAAATATAGCACAATAACTAAAACAGCGCTTTAACGGTGCTGTAAGTTTGTCATAGCTATACTTCAGCACTTTCAATATGCTTTCCTTATTGTCACCCTGCGTGATTTTTTCTAGGTCTGTGTCTCTAAAAAAATTCCATTTCTCTTCACCTTCACCGTAAAGAAGACTTCCAATAGTCGTTATAACAAGGGGAACTTTCGCACACTTTGTTAGAATTTCTCTCCCAATTTCAACCAGCTGCCTGTTCTTTCTGTCCTCAGTAGTAAATGCCCATTTGTCAAACAATTCCCATGAACAGCTATCAGATAGACTCTCAAGTTCATACGTTACGTCTCCTATATTTCTAGCAACTATCATAGAGCGCGTAGTGACTATTATTCTACTTCCCTTTCCCCCTTTCATCAACAAGTTCTTCAGTTCCAACAATTCCTTACAATTCTCATTCCACACATCATCTAAAACAAGCAAGAACTTTTTTACCAAAATGTGCTCTTGAACTAGACAACATAGTTGTCGCATCTTAAGGTGGTCATAGTTCTCAGGCTTCACTGACTGCAACAATTTCCGCAAAATCATTTCAAAATCAAAATAATCAGAAACACAAACCCACAATGTCAAAGAAAACTTGCTGCTGAACTCCGTATCATTGTAAATGTATTGAGCAAGAGTGGTTTTCCCTAATCCCCCAATCCCAACAATCGAAACAAAACAAAAATCCTCACTAACACTAGAGACAAGTAACAAGTCAGACACTGCTTTCTTGTCCTTATCTCTTCCAATAACCTTCGTTTCAAGTAAAATAGAGCGACTATCCTCCCTTCCCTTAGGCATTGTTGTTTTATTACCTAAAGAGCCCTGCGATGGAGAGGCAAAGTCACGACGATCGCTAGCAATCTCATTTAACGTCTTCACAAGTTTTCTGACCTCACTGGACATAGTAAAAGCAAAATCCAGTTGGTTGAAGGGAGAAAAGAAAAGGCATACCTCCTTTTTTCACGATGCGAGATTCTGCCAATTTTACACAAGTGTCTATTGATTTGAGAACTATTGCAACATCCATCTCTCTCTCTCTTTTTTTTTTTTTTTTTATAGGGGTTGAAGGAACAAAAAAGGGAAGAAAATAAGCGTATTTAGGTGTTTTAATTTGTATTGTGGAATGCACCAAGGAAAAAAACAATTTTTGGTTTAATGGAGGAGATAGAAATTAATGTAGTGTTGTTTGGGAAAGGAAGTCCCACAGTCACACTGTAAAGTCAAGAAAACGAGTCAAGTGGAGGGATATTGTGTGGTGGGGTGTATGGTTTGAGTTTATGGGATTGTTTGAGATGAGGCAGTTGTGTAAAGGAGTGTGTCACGGAGAGATGGTCTGCCACGTGGGGTAGTGTGGATCACATGGGGCGCTGTAACCTATTGTGCTTCGATTTAAGTTTTATTTTTGTTTTTTTTGAATAATCCAAACAAATAATTTTTGTTATCGTGATTATGAAGTAATTTTTCAAATTTCTAGATTACTTTGACCACTTTGTTGACCGTGATTAAAGGGATCAAAGTTCACACAAACCATAAGCATTATTTATATTGAGAGTGAGGGATAGCTTAGTTGGTAAGAGCTTTTCTCTCGGCTGCAGCTAATTTTGGAATCAATTCTCATCCCATCCTAGTGGCTTATATGAACCAAAAAAAAAAAAGCATTATTTATACTATCTATGTTATGTATTATTTGCAACGATTTGACATAAATTGTGACTGAAAAACGTTTGATCATTGCAAATAATATTAAACAAATGTCATGTCATACCTTATATTTTATATTTATGTATATAATAAATGACAATGTGAATAACTAATTGAATTACGAGAAAATTGAGTCATAAATTAAATGTATACTACTCCGTAATGATTAACCTATGTAATGACCCAAGGAATTACTCTGTAATAATTTATATTTTTTTGAGAAACCCTACCTTTTAATTGAGTCCGAGTATGATGATATGCTTTATAACTTGCATTGGGACAATTGCTTGCTTGTTTGTAGCAAATTTTTGTTAAGTAACTTAATTAATAATTTAAATATGTTATGTTTAGACTTTATACCCTATGTTTTTTCTAATTTTTACACTCCAATATGATATAAAAGATAAAGTTTATTAGGGACAATACAAGCAATTATAGGTATATCATACATTATCAAACAAAAAAAAAAAAAAATTGGATCATTTGGAGGTCCGAATAAATGGACCAGATTCGGAACAAAAAATTACAAGTCGGATCGGACTCATTCCCGGATTTTTCGAATTTGGATTTGGATCCGAGTCCAGGGTCCATTTACTAAACAGATCGTATTCGGATTTAGCCGCATCCAACCCGAATCCAATCCGTTGCCATTCCTACACCCACCCCCACCTTCCAAGTAAAATGTTTTCGCCCTAAGTATGAGAGACCTCATGCCACATCTACACTTCAAGCCTAAAAGGTTCCCATATAAGGGACGTGATAGAGTATATAAATCGATTAACTAATACAATAGTCAATTATATATCATATCTCATGCACAGACTGCAAGTGTAGTTCTTAGAGAATAGTGAAAATGCTTAAAGTTGCTTGTTCTTACATTTGCACATGTAATTTTAGGGTCTGAGGCACGTGAAAGGTTTTTGATCTGGACTTTATTGTTTGTTGTAGCCATCACATCCTCCGGGTATTTTTTACTTCTTTTTTCTGCTTGAATTATATATGAGAAAAGAGGAATGATTGATGTTTATCTTCTTTTTTGATACTGAATTCTTGAAATTGGATTGCGTAGGTTATTGGGTTTTATTTGATATATGCAGGTTGTAGGGAAGACTACACTGATTTTTGACTTTGTTTTTTTTACTGGTATAGCTTGCAATTATTATTCATGAGCTAATTAGTTTTCGACGATAAGAACGAATTGACCTATATTTAGGATGATGTAGGTGTAAACAATTGCTTGAGCACATCAACGATTGCTATGACAGGAGTTGGACTCGATTCAGGAAACTTTGAACACTAAGTTGCAAAGAGCTCCAGCAGCATCCAGCATCATCAAGTACTAGTAAAATAGGTAGAACTGAAGCTGAAGAAGGTGCTTCCCGAATTGCTTTACTTGAGAAATTGGGAAAGCGGGAGAAAGAAATGATAATGCGATCCAAACAATTGCTGAAAATATGGTTTGGGGGACAAAATGATTTAGTTTTAACTTTTTAATTGTTTTTTTCTTAGTTTAACTAGTGATAATTTAATTTTGTAATTTTTCTTATAGATAACAATGTACAAACTTTTAATTTATATTAATAAATTCTGATTTTTTTTTAAAAAAATTTGATTATAATTGTATTATTATTATTATTATTGGCATTAGGGTATAGGGAATCGTGGCATTAGGTATAGGAAACTGTGGCATTAGGTATTATAGCTAATGCCACGGCAATAAAGTTGCCGTTGCATCAGGTGTTGATCTAATGCAGCGGATCATTGATGTCGTGGCATTAGGTGTCATATGCCGTTGCATTAGACCTACTGCAACGCCATCAGATGCCACGGTACATGGTCATTGCATTAGGCCTAATGCACGGATTTTGACGCCTAATGCAACGGATTTGAGGGTTGCAATAGGTCAAAAATGTAGTAGTATATATGAGCAGTATTGTTAAGTATTTAGAGTGTTGATGGTTTGCGCGATCGCAACCATGAAGGACCGCCCGCGCAAGTTAGGTGTGGCCGCGCAGAGAGCGCGCCTAAACCGCGCACCTCTCTGGAATTTGGCAAAATTGGAAGGGTGAGATGGCGCGCCCGCGCTGCTGGTCGCGCCTAAACCGCGCCCCTGACTGCCTTCCTTTAGAAATTTCGCAGCTTTCGTGAGGAGCGCCCGCTCCTCCTTGGGGCGCGCCTGCGCCACCTGGCAATTGCGGTTTCGTTTATTCTTTTAAACGCGAAATTAAAAGAATGATGCTGGTTCTGGTTTTTACTGTCACAGCCACTACAACCAACAAGGCCACACCACCGCTACTTTTACTGTCAACGTCCGACCACCATTTTCCTCACCGAACCACCGTCACTGTCGCTTATACCCACTCAAATAGTACCAGACGTGGTGGTGAAACGGCGAGAAGAGGGAGAGGGAGAGTTCTGGCGGGAAGGGGACTGGTAAGTTGTCGAATGGGGGCTGAATGGGGAGGGGGATGATCAGTGAAGGGGGACGGGCTGAACGGGATAAGGGAGAGGTGGAGGGGATTTTTTTAATTAAGTTTTTTTATAAAAATTAAAATCATTTATTTTTAAAAGAAAATATCATAACCAATCATAATGTCACATGTTTCAGTTTAACCTATGAAACAGGTTAACGGTTTTTTATTCTCCTTATAGAAGATATATGTCAAAGGTCGTTTATTCTGAAATAATTAAAAGGTCATTTTATTTTGAAAATCCGGTGAAAGGTCGTTCTTGACAATTTTTCCTAAGTTATATCCACTTGATAATTATCTTCAAGATTGTTTTCTAAGTAACATTAATAGGTTGTCAAGTTTGTTGAATTTTAATCTAGTTGGTTGGTTATATAGGAGGCAGCCCCCATTGATCTTGTTGATCAATTTAACTTGTTAATCAAAATGGCTCTTTTGTAAATAAAGTGAACAGCAACCGTCCCCATAAGGGGGGCTATGAATGATGGCAGCTAGTCGGAGTAGGATTGTAATTGATTTAACGGACGTTAGAGTCTGTCCCGAGTCCCTTAGTGTTGTAGCCGACCGTCACCGTTGAAGCTTTCCCGATCTCCACCACCATTGAAGCTTTCCCGACACCATCATTGAAGCTTTCTCGACACCACCATTGAAGCTTTCCTGACACCATCATTGAAGCTTTCTCGACACCACCATTGAAGCTTTCCTGACACCACCATTGAAGCTTTCACGACACCACCATTGAAGCTTCCCCGATCTCTAACCCACCTTCCCCAATCTTAAATGAAAACCCTATTAATAAAGGGTGAAATTAATGGCATAGTCAACCCCTAAGGGAAGGGGTGACCATGTCCTCCATTCAAGCTCCCTCCATTGAGCTTGATTTTCGAAGATGGGTCGTTAATGGTAGAAGTGCGGTCGTTGACGGCGAAGAGAGGAGATGAAATATATATGACGGTGGTTGTGATGATGGTTGTGGTTGTGGTGGTGGTGGAGTGCTTTCACGTTTGACATCGATCGCCAATTAAGTGAGCTCTTCTCTTGGAAGTTGCCTCCATTGCTGAGAGATTAAGAAGAGTGAGGAGAGAGAAAGTTGAATTGGATGGAAAATGTTGTTGACATTAACGGCGTGAATTGTGTAACTGTGAGCTGGAGTAATGATATGGCAAGAATGCCAATTGTCAATGGCAAATTTACCATACCGTCCCTAATTAAATGATGGAAATCTCATTTACACCCTCTTGATTGACAGATTTTGTTGATCAAGAAGATCAACAAGTATTTTCTGATTATTTAGTTATCTTTAAGGAATTGTTCTATTTAACTTATTTCACATACTTATTACTTAATCTTAATAAATTCAGATCAGATTAGACCAGAAACATTCAGATCAGATCAAAACTTTTTAATTATTATTTACTTATTACTAAATATTGTAAATTGCGTATTTAAGAAAATTATGAAAATTATGTATTTGAAAAGTACATGATGAGTCAAATCTAACAAGATCCAATTTGATAATGTTTTTCTTTTTAGATTAGTATTAAATGAGGTCAAAGTTTAATCAAATCAATAAATCAGATCACACCAGACCAAATAATAAAGAATCACATCATACCTTATTAAAATCAAATCAGATCTCTTTATTTCAAATGAAGAGAACAATATCTAAAAGTACTAACGACTACTCACTCGTCTAATACATAATGATTAGTTTCGAACTGTAGAGTGGGAGTTAAGAAAGGGATCAAATTAAAAAAAGGCGGTAGGAAGCAAGTGAGAAGGGGAGAGAGTCCTACATTTTCATTCCTCTATCCCCTAAATATCCCTCTTTTTTTTTTTGGCTTTGAAAATTATAGGTCATACTTGCTCTTTAAATCATTATCTCCAACTCTCTTTCTTTCCTTCCTATCCTTATTTCTTCCTTTAAATGACTTTAAAATTATAGGTTGTATTTACTCCCCCACCCCTCTCTCTCTCTCTCTCGAATTTGTAAAAATCTTCTCTTTATCCTAATTGTCTATCCGTGTGGTCGTGTAATGTCTTTTAGTAATCTCTTTTTGAGTGGTATATATTTCATTTTCTCTCTTTCTTTTTTTTTTTCCTTACAAATTTGCAAATTTTATAGTTAAGTCTTACTTGCATATATACATCCTTCATTTGGTTACACATTTTATAAGAAAACCTATTTATCTCAATCTTATTATAGGTTGTACTCTCTCTCTCTCTACTAAGTAGGTTACACAAACATTAAAAAAGTACTTAATTATAAGTTTAGCACGATACTACTATAAGGTTAAAAAATTTATTCTAAAGGTGCTATTAATTAGCCCGACTTTCTCATAATTGTCATAAAACCACGTTGACTGAGTAATTACATTTATTGAAAGAAACTTGTCCAAATCTATTATCGAGTTGTGCGCACCCCTATTTGCTCACTCTGTTTGTCCTTTCCTTTAGCTTTTCCTTTCTCTTACTCGTCTTTTATGATTTCGAGCATTTTAGAAATCTTATAAAAAGTATTCTCATCTCCTTACTCAATTAAACTCCAAAAAAGTATCCCCCCTTTTCCTTTATTTCCCCAAACTCTCTCTTCCATTTCAGCATTGCACAAAGATGGCTGAGTTTCCCTACCTAGATGGTACACTTTACTTCTTCTATGATGCAGTCAGGTTATGGTGTTCTCTTGTGATTTTTCTGCCCTAAGCCTGTTGGGTCCAAGATTGATAGTTGTCATACTATGCAACCAAGGGCTGCTGCCCCAGCCCTACCTAATCCAGCCAAAATAAGATGTGTGCCAAAATCAGAGAATAGTGATGCTCATTTGCAGGCCCATTTAACCCGGGCATTAACTCGACAAAGATTAGGTTTCATACTACTCTCAATGCCATGAACACATTCTACCAGACCATGAGTCAGGACCCCTTTCCAAAGCAAAGTATCCCAGATAGGTGTCCTCACCAGCCTGAATTCAATTATACATGTTCCTCTTTTCATATCCTAGATGCTATGAATATGTACTTCTGGTTAACTGAATAAATCAAAGAATACTTTCCTACCTTGTATTTGAACATGACAACATGACATAATTTAATCAAAATATGAGGCAAACTTGATTTTAGATCAAATTCTAATGTGCAGGCACAATTTAAATGCTAAAAGACACCTGGTGTAATTTCAGAACTTGGTTAATTAGGGTTAAGCACTCACAAGATAATGCCTCCTTAATTTATTTTCATAAAAACACCAACAATTCCCTCCAACCAAATTTTGTAGTGTTATACTCATCATTGTTTTTGTTGAAGTAATATATGCAGACAAAATCAATGTATTTTATTTCATGCATGCATTTTCTTCAAATTATTTAAGAAGGATAAAACTGTTGAGTGGGAAAAAAGATGCCATCACTCAAGCTCAGCAAAACACGACATAGTGAAATGTGGAGAATATGGCCCTTTGATAATATTACATATACAGAACACTAACCACTGTTCCATTATCCAGCCGTTTTGCTGCAGCAATGTACTCTTTCATCAGATCCTGATTACATTCTTTCCCCACCTTAACTTCTTCTTCTAGAGGTTGGTAAATCTGATTTTCACAAGAATTGTTTCACAAAATTAGACTGATAAAACAATTGGGAATCCAGCATTACATTAGAATACATTTCAGCAGATCACAATCATAGTTGTAAATAACTACAGAGTAATAAATAAATAACAAAAATAATGTATAAACGAACCAAGAATTTAAGGAAAAAGGACAAAAAGAAGTTACAGCAAAGGCTTCAGCTTAGTCCAATTCTTGAGTATGCCTTCAATAGTGAGCCCTTCTGCAACCTTTTCGGACAATACAATTATGTTAGATAAAAATAATGATAGTGATGAACTGAAAATATTGCTGGAACAATGAATACCCCAATACTCACTGAAGATTTACAAATTGAAGGAATTATGATCTTGAACAACCACCTCACAAGCAACAAATACTACCTCCGTTTCATAGTATTTGCAACGATTAGACATTTTTCCTCTCTACTCCATGTCAAATTGTTGCAAATAATATGAAACGGAGGTAGTATTTATAGCCTGTTTCAACCACAGATTGCACCTGCAACAATGGCATCATTTTTTTTTTACAAGAACAATGGCAACATTATCTATGCTGTAATTCACCAATTTACCACATGAAAAGCAATCAACCAATGTCATCAAGCTTATGCTGTATGTAACCCTAACTCCCTAAGTTTTTTTCAGAAAATCTAAAGAATGCATTATATTCTATATATGATTAATTCACTGGTCTAACATTATATCTAGATACAAATACTCGATTAAACAAGAACAATTGCTCAAAATACCGTGAAATTGTGACAGATTTTGTGAAATCAAGGTCTACATAAAATGAGAAATTCACAAACTAATTGATCAAATTCAACCAATTTTCGAGTACAATAGGGTGTATAGGATAATCTACTACACATTTAAGAGAGAGAAAATTAAATATACTGAATTACTGATTCAATTCAATAACGATAAACCCTAGATTTCAACGAAGCAATTTCGAACCGGCTCATGTGCAGGAAATTCAAGTACATAGTAGTTAAAAAATCTAATCATACAGAACAGGGATCAATTTTATTACCTTAAGTAAAAGCATCAGATTTACCTTTGGTGATGTGATTTTTGGCAATAAGAAAATCCTTGGTGAAATCATCTGTATTCTTCCCATCATCAATTTAACTAACAACAGAAAATAAATTCAAGTAACTACGATTGAAAATAATAATAAATAAATTTTCTTGGAATCAAGGATCAACAAGTGTCGTTGTAGTATAGTGGTAAGTATTCCCGCCTGTCACGCGGGTGACCCGGGTTCGATCCCCGGCAACGGCGATTTTTTTTTGTTTTTTGCATCCCTAGGCAGCTCATACACAACACCTCCAATTCTCCAAACAAAACCAGATTTTTTCTGTTTGACTATTTGTCCCATCAACATCTTACCACGTTGCCAAAATAATACCAGATTACCAGTACATATTACCATTTACGTGTACAGTATTTTATTTACAAAATACACGTCATTGTACTCCTTCTATTCAAAATTAATTGTCACATAAATACTATTTGAATTAGTAACATAAGAACTATATTTATACGGACCATATAGTAGTATATTTTTCGAAGTATAGAAACTAATTATTGTGAATTACTAGCTGATGATTATTAGAAAACGCATGTCCCATGGTACATGTTTAAGGTGAGAATCGTTTTCATCCTACTTGAGCTCCTTTTTTTTTTGGGTAGTCTCGTACTACATAATGGTTGATGGTTCGTTTGGAATTGGTTGAATATTTATGTAGTAAGAGACAAAGAGATTAGGGTGACGTGACCTCACTACATAGTACAGTGTATCTAGGAAAATATACATTGGAGAGAGATACAATCCCAAGTCCTTTAGAAATTCTTCATGTTCCGCTATAAATTCTCCCCCACAAAATTGATCTATATTTAGTTACAAACCTAATCGAGTCAAATTAAGTTTACTAACATAGAATCCTAAAACTTTAAAAGCTGACAGATAGTGGAGAGATTATTATATACACCCGAGTGCACGGTGCACCTGGGTGTATATAACAATCTCTACAGATAATGAGTATGGCTATAAATCTGATTGTTCTCCGCGTTTATCACGGAGCTAAAAGACCCAGCAAATATAAACAAGATTACCCACCCTAACACTTCTCCGGCTTGTATTGTTATCTGTTTTCTGTGCTTAATCGTTTATTAGCACTAGATTTAAATCTCATCAAGAAATGTCAGGTTACAGAGAATTTTTTTCCAAGCAAATCATTGATACAGGTTGCTCATTTGTCAAATAAAGTGCCAAATCACGCAGTTAACTGTGTAAATGTGTAATGGCATCTTGCCATATTTGCTGGCTAAGGGAAGATTAATCATAGCTTTTAAACATGTGGAACTAAAATATTTCTGCACATCTTTAACAACTCATTTAAGCAGCATATACAAACTAAAATGACCATCTCTAGATAATAATTTTTATATAAGTTTAAAAAATGTTATTCTCAAATATAACTCAATACAAAATTTGATCAAGTCAAAGTACAAGCTTTGAACAACGAAGTTAGAAAGGGCCTATGTATTTTGAAGGGTGGGACAAAATTTCACTGTCAAACATTAGCTCCAAGAACTACAGTTTATCAGATATAGCCAAAGAGAGGATCTCCATAAATCCACAGTTATCTGCTTACTTTGATTGCCGTATCCCAAAAATTTGTTTCAAAGATTGCTGCAAAGTATTCAAACAGTGGTTAAATAAACTGCTCAAAAACAAAGCATTCAGGCGAGCCAAACTGTGAGCTTAAAAACGATGTGTTGAAGATCTATTGAAAAACATGATCATGTAACATGAATTCTTAAGCATAAAAAAACTATCATGATTTCCCAGGTTTTCATAATTAGTGCCACCCAAATTAATAGTAACATCAAGGCACATATGTCATATACCAGTAAATATGGACAGCAGAATCATACAGCAACACGCAGGAACAAAAGGAGCTTTGCAGAACCATCATCACCCAAACAATTTGAAGACAAAGATACCAGCAACTTTGGACTAAAAAGGTCTAAACACTAGTAGAAACAAAAGCATAGATCGTAGAACCAGATCATATGACAATATGGTGTAATAAAGAGATTTTATACTTCCCATTTGACGGTTCATCCTTGAACAAAATAACTAGTAGCTCCGCCCTGATTTTATTATTAGTTCAAATCACCATACCAATGAGATTTTACTCCAGACAGACAAGGAGTTCATATGCTCTGCAATGTCTAATACATAAAACCCAGCAACTGCGGTAACATTCTCACTTTATCCATAAAGCAGGTTTTACATGGCTCAAGAGATGAATCTATGGCATAAGAAGAGACATACTACAAGTTTAAGTCTTGTGCTATCTGATTTTCCTCAGCCGTGAACACAGTCCCCCTTCTTTTTGAAAAGGTTGTATTATACTTCTCCATTTTTTTAATTCAGCCATTGGGTTGGGCATGAGATTTTAGGAGAAACGGTAGAGAGGTTCAAAATACGTTGTAGCCCGTGATTTAAGGGAAGATAAGAGACAGAAACCATTGCCTGACCAACAAACCCCTCTCAGTGTCCTGACAACTACATTTCCGCTTTTAAAACGGTTTATCCTTCCACACTTAAATAGATGGCCTAGATGGGTTTCTCTGTCTTACACTATCTTAAGAAAGCCCTAATATAGTTATGATAGCACAAAATTGCAAGGCTATGCATCAGTAAACTGACAGCTGAAATTCAACTTATCCTATGTTAAACATATGTTAATTCAAAATTCTACCCAAATCTTGACAGAAAATGCACTAATTGTTATAAGACTATTAGCCAGCCTCGGCAACAGAATGGCAAATCGAAATATTCATACGCCTCAATGCAAAAAGGCTAAAGATTCATATCAAAACTCCCTCACAAAAGTATTCACAATGCATTTGCAACACTAATCTGCAAACAAACTACAGACCTAAACAATATTGCCAACAGAACTATCTCATGGAAAAATAATTCCATCTTTGCTATCTAAATATCTCTAGCTATATAAACTTTGTGAATATGTGTACTTTCTCATGCAAGCTGCAATACCCGTTGCACAGATAAGAAGTCAATAATACACAACTACAGCACAAATTCAAATCACAATGTCACAAGCTTAAAATTTGCAGGCTAGCAAACTTGAATTTAAAATTTATAGTCTGGAATTACCTCCTCTGACTCATGTCACAGGTTCAACTCTTTGACTTGTTCTTAGAACTGGATGGCACTTTTCCATAAGCAACGAGCCTCGATTCTGGCAGCTTCTTCTCCTTCATCCGGCGCCTCCTCCTGGCTGCTCGAGACAACTGACTCTCATCAACACTCGGCTCCTCACTCTGTGCTTTCCCAGCATCTACAGATTCCTTCTCATTATTTGTTTCACGAACATCACCATTATCCCTTCTCTTTCTCTTCTTTTGGTTCATCTTATCATTCACAATTTTCTCGAAGAACATCTTCTTCTGAATTTGAGGCACCTTCCACTCCTTCTCCCTATAAGTCGCAAGCTTCTTCAACGAAACATATTGATTCAACTCCTGCTCATCCAACATCAATATATCAGCAGCAGTCAATCCATATTTCGAGGGTTTAACTTCCCTGTACTTAAACCGGGTTTTCAAATCTCCAATACTATCCTCATAATCAAGCTTATAAAGTTCTTCTTCAAGCTTCTTATCAAGAGCTTCCTTAATAGCAGACTTTTTCCTCTTCCTCTTCTTCTTACCCTCATCTACCTGTTCATCATCATCATCATCTTCTCCTCCTTGCAATTCATCATCATCACTTCCATCCTCGGCTATACTCTTCAACCTTTCCCTTTCAGCTAAAAACCCATCACTCGATTTAGTCACATCCCAATCCTCAGGCAATCCAAGCAACTCATCTTCCTTCTTAAAATCCGGCTTCTCCAAATCACTCTCACTCTCATTCCCAAATTCAGGATCAACATCCTCTTCCTCATAATACCTATCCCCAAATGCAGCCTTCATCTTCTTGTCGAACTTCTCAGGATCGAAATCCTCCTCCAAATCATCCTCATCCAAAGGAATATCCTTATCAATACCCGCAATCTCCTTAATCTTACTAAGCTTCTCCTGAATCTCCTTCCTCTTCAAATTCTTCAACCTCTTAACCTCCTCTTGCCTCTCAATCTCAGCTTGTGCCAGCCTCTCCTTCTTCCTCTCCCTCTGATTCTTCCTCGCATTCGTCTCCTTCCTCACCGAACCATCCACAAACCGCGAATGCCCCAACACTCGATCACTCGCATTCTCCTCAAACCGAAAATTAAAACCTTTCTCATACTCCTCCTGCTTCTCAATTGCCTCCTCATCATCCGATAACCCGGCTAAATCATCCATATTCACCTTACTCTTCCCCTTATCATTATCAATCCACAACTTCCCCTTCAAATAATTCTTCAAAAACACATCATTCTCACCCAATGTATCATCCTCCCCAAAATACTCATCCAATTTCTTATTCAACTCCTCATCATCCTCCCCTTCCTCCTCATCCCTCTCTTTCTCCCTCAACAACTCGCCTTCGCCCCCGCCTTCGCCTTCCGCCTCCGCCATCGCTCTCAACACCTCATTCCTCAAATCCTCCTGCTCCTCATTATAACTCTTCACCCTCCCCACTTCTCTCTCCTCTTCCTCCTCCTCCTCGCACTCGGGACCTCGCTCAATCAATTGCTCAGCAATCACATCCTTCAAATACTTAGGCTTCTTCTTCCTCTCTCTTTTCCCTTCACCTTCATCTTCTTCATCACTACTACTCTCAAACAACTTCGAATCCTGCTGCTTCAAAATCGGATCTTTATTCCTAACCTTCATCAATGCTTCCAGTAACTTCCTCTCCTCTTTCGCTGCTTTCACAACATCAACAACTTCCGAGTCGGAATCAGTGTCTGACTCAGAATCAGAACCTGAGTCAGGAACGAGTCCCTTCTTCTCCATCTCTTCCAATTTCTGCAATTCCTCTCTCTTCTTGTTGTGCTCATATCGCTTTGCGAATTCCTTGTCGACTTCGATCTTCGATATCTTCTCAATGTCATCGTCATCAACATCGTCGAACAATTTCTTCATTTTCGATTTTTCGATGATTTAGGGTTTCAGATAGTGAAACGCTAAACATCGCCCGCAATTTACCATATAAAGCCCACAAATATGATATGGTTTGACCATTATGCCCATTTTCTAAAATTGAAATAATCTCGGTGTAAAAAATGTGGAGCCGTACTGACTCGCCGGGGGAGACCGGAGGGCAGGCCGGAGATGCGGGGGACGCCGGAGGTACGTCGTCGTCGACGGAAAACGAGGTAAGTCAACGTTAAAATTCACGGTTTACCGTCGGAGTGGCTCCGGCGCCTAGGATGGACGCCCAAACCGTAGCCTGGACGTCCAAGCCAGACGCCAGAACCACCAGAGTGGCGTCCAGCCCAGACGCCCAGACCACCAGACTGGCGTCCTGGCCAGGCGCCACTCCACTGGGTGAGACGGCCCTGCCAGGCGCCAGTCCATTGGCTGTGGCAGCCCTGGCAGACGCCACCCTTATAAATTAATTTATTTTTTTTTCTTTTTTGATTTTGTTGTTGTTTTTTATTTAATTTTTTTTAAAAAAAAAAAATCGAAAATGATTTTTTAAAAAAATTCGAAATGGGTTTTTTTAAAATTAAATTTGAAAATTCGAAATAGGTTTTTTTAAAATTAAATTTGAAAATTCGAATTGGGTTTTTATAAAAATTAAGTTTGATTATATATAATTATGCTTTTTTTGTGTTAATTCTGTGTAAATATAGAAATTAAATGTATTATCCGTTAAATGTATTTATTGTAATATATAATTGATGCAAGAATATGGTGGAGACGGAAATGATTACAGTGGGATATTTGGACATGATGGTCCATTTGAAGAAGCTCAACAGGCGATTGATTGGGCAAAACAGGTTGCAATTTTGAGATGGTAGAATGGATCGCATTTTGAGATGTGATCGTTATCGCAAAAGAGAAGAAAGAGATTTTCGTACAGCCACTCGGTTTGATACAAAGCGGAAAGGTTGTGGGTGTGAGTTCAGAGTAAAGGTTCGACAACTACGGAGTCGTGACGGTTGGGAAGTGATTGGTTACTCTAAATGGGGGTATCACAACCATGAGATGATAGTATATCATGACCGGATCCACGAATGGAACACCCTAGCTGCATTTTAGTTTTTCATGTTTACATTCTTTATTTGTAATCTTATTTGTACGTTGCTCTTTTAATGAGAACATTAATATTTTATATTGTATTGCTTACTGCATTCCACGAACGGTTATATCAAAATTTAAAAACAGCACTGATAATATGTTTAAGTTGGAAGCTAAAAGAACAATCTAAAATGTTACAATCTTACAACATAATGTCCAACATAATGCTCTATAAATAAAATACAATAACCATTAATAATCCCTCCTCGACGACGACTCCCACTGCGCAAGGGTCTGTTCCAGACTATCAACAACAGCTCTCCCTGTTGCACTCATGCTGACCTTCTCAAGAGAGAGTTTCTGTACGTCCTGCATTATCTTTCCCATCCACTGCATACAACAAAAAACAGAAGATGAAATACAATAACAACATATAAAACTTAATTAAAAGACAACGATAAATATAATAAAAGACATACCGCTTCCGTGGCAGTAGGCGGTGGCACATAATCATCATCGCTGTGGTCGAGATCTGCGATCAACCTCGGGTGCGAATACCGGTTGAACCATTCCATGTAGTAATGGTCACACATGGGAGTAACCCCAGAGGGCGGCCGCTGCAACTCCGCAGTCCATAAGCGGGCCACCATCGGAAACTGGTCCCACGTCCCGGTCATGATATCCGGCCATTGCACGACGTAGTCCCTCGACGATGCAGGTCGGACCGCCTTCATCGGGCATGCTGGGGGAGGAGGGACAACTTGGACAAATCCAAGCTGGCGAAGACAACGCTGGGGCATGTACGCCTCGACGATCTCACGATACTGAATGAGTCCCGTGTCTCGTACATGTCATCAATACCCTTACGCACCTCCACCATATGTGTCTCGTACATGTCATCAACCCTCTGACTGAATGGACCGTAATCATCATACGGTCCACTGCCATCGTCCACATCCTCATCCTCATCTGCGCCCTCCTCCTGCTCCTCCTCCTGATCACCCTCCTCAGCATCATCATCGTCATCGTCATCCTCATCCCGACGGTGGATCCGTTCTCTACGAGCTGAGGCCGAAATACCACGGGATCTGACATGTCTATGCCCCGACCTCTCCACTGAATAGCTTCTACTAAGAAGCTCTATATTCTTCCCCGCACCATGACGACCCAGTGAATTCTACACAAAATTTTAAAATATATAAACATACAAAAATTTATACGAAAAACAGCTACCACTCCCAAATCAAATAAACTAAAAACATACAAATAATTGTAAACAAAATATAAACATAGAAAAAATACAACGAAATTGAAAAAATTTATAAAAATAAACAACAAAATATAAAAACAATTCAAAAATATATTACACAAAAAAAAAAAAAAAAAAAATTAAAAACAATATTTTAAAACAAATATATAAAAAAAAAGGGGGGGGGGGCGCCCTGGCTGGACGCCCAGCCAGCGGTGGTGGCGCCAGCTGCAGACGCCGCCACCAGTGGGCTGACGCTTGGGCTGGACGCCATAGTTACGGCTGCGGCGCCTTGTATAAACGCCACAGCCGTGGCTATGGCGTCCATCCCAGGCGCCAGCCAACTGGTGGCGGCGTCTGCAGGTGGCGCCACCACCGCTGGCTGGGCGTCCAGCCAGGGCGCCCCACCGCCGTCACGGCGGTTTTTCCTTTTTTTTTTTTTTTTTTTTTAAGAAATTGTACCTTGCCACCTTGGGACATCCTTCCCTCCGCCGCCGCCGCCAATTCCTCGCCTTGCCGCCTTTATTGCCGTTGTTTGATTTTTTTTTTTTTTTTTAAGAGAGGATGAAAGAAGATGAGCAATGAGAGTGTGAGTGATGAGAGTGTGAGTGTTTTTTTTTAAAGGTCAAGGGCAATTTTGTCAAACCAAGTGAATTTTGTGGGCTTTATGTAGTAATTTGTGGGCGATGTTTAACAAATCCCTTCAGATATTGTTGGAGCTTCAATTGTGGGTGCAATTGGCGATTTTAGGGATGAACTAGGGTTTTCTGAAAATTTTGGGGGTTTTAGGTTTTCAGCCTTAAATTGAAAAGAAAAAAAAAATGAGGGTATTTTGGATATTTTGTATTTAAAAATATAAAATTGTGTAAAAGAAACGGAAAATAAAAATAAAAATTCAAGGCTATTAGTAATTTCCTTCCCCCAAATTAATTGTGGTCGGAAATTTATTTGAATCTCCGGCGAATCAGAGAATGCCGACGATTCTTCTGCACCGCCGTATCGCCGTCGCAAATTTTCAACTTCTTTTCAATTAAACATGTCCAGGTAAAATCTCTTTTTTTTTCACTTTTTAGTTTTCAAATTTTAATTCGAATTTCCTTTTTTTTTTCCGCAATTGGGCTGAATTTGATTAATGTTTGAAGAAAGCATTATATCACAATTAATTTGATTTGGCAATGCGTATTTACTGGAGATGTTAGTAATAGAATTTGGAAAAAAACGATCTGTTTATTTGTATTTTTGTTACTCACTGGACTAGGAATGATTGTCGTGTTGATAGTGTAATTTGAACTAGTCGTAGTAATGTGATAACTAAATCCGGAGCTGTTTATCCTATTTCGAGCTCGATTAATTGATTCCACTGTTGCTCTTCAGAGTATATATACGTGCAAAAGTGAGGTTATTGGGAATTTTGGGACTGTGAGGTATAACAATTTAGTGATCTTCCCTTTTTATTGGAAAATATGTTTCTCCAAAACAGTATTGGTTATTGAAAGAGGGATTAATTTCAAATCGGAGTTCTACAAATACGGTTTGTTTCAGCTGGGAATAATTTATCTAGAGTACAATCAAAAGAATGTCTCTTTTTAGGATGTTGCCTCTAGGGTGTGAATTTGATGAATGCCTCAAGTTTAGGTGCTGCGATTGTGGTGTTATTTACTTAATTTATCCAGGCCGTGATGGTAAGGGTCTGAAGGGTAAATCTGTATTGGCCTATTGGGTCCCCCTATGATTGTAAAGAAGATGATTTCTTTGAACCCTTGAACGTTGATGCTAATGATAAGCTTCTAAGATGGCTGATATTTGTCCACTGGGAAACAATAACAAAAGTTGTCTACTTATGACTTTTGCAATTCTGTTGACATATATGGTGAAATTATTGCAATGTATCCTATTTTGTGGAGATGTAAACTCTTGCTCATGAGTGGTGAGTGGAGACTATGCGGGTTTAGGATTGGATCTGTAATGCAAAGAATACTAGGGGAAGAAGCATGATATATACTTTCTTTAAATGGAAATACTCATCTATTTAGAGAAAGTGGCTCATTTTCTCTGACTATCTTATGCTGTAAAATGTAACAGTTATAAAAGCTCTCTATTGATGTGTTATCCAACTCAGTTGAATATGATGACAATTATTATAGTACGCCCTGTTTCAGGAAGATAAGCTCTTGCCCAACTGGAGGAGAGGTAGTTTAGGGTTGGTATTCTAATGCAGCGAATATGTTATGAACTGAGATAGCTTGGACAAATTGGTGATATATAGGTGTTGAAAATTGCTAATTAAGATTGATTAACTGAAATTCATATATATGAAAATGATAAGCACAAGCTTTTTAGTGGCTTATTTTACTCCCAATGGCTGACTCAAATTAAAACAACAATCCAATATTCTAGATGCCTTTCTCTCTCCCTACTCTCCTTTGTAGCATTTCTTATTCTTGTTGTCTGGCCGAAGACATGCTAGAAATAGTGGGATCAATTGACCCCACTATTTTGATTAATTTTTGCAGGATTTGTTTTGAATTTAGCTATATGAACTCACTAAAATTTTATTAATATATATCTTAACCTCGATAAGTATTTTTTTCTAGATCCTCCACTCTCATTTCTAATTAACTTTCTGCCTTTTTCTCAAGCATCCTAACTGGTTCATAGTGCTACTCCTACAGTATTCTTTATAAGGCTGGTTCATTGCAGAATACTAGGGGGAGAAGAAGGATATATGCCTTCTTTAGATCGAAATTTTTACCTATTGAGATAACTTGAGTTGAATGTTTCAATTATTGTATGGCTAGGAAGCAGTCAAAAGGGGAAGATGAAAAAAAACCCTCTATTCTCTACTCCTATTGTCCTCTTTAGGTTGTTTCCATATCATGACTTGAGTCTGGAACATCAAGTGCACCTTAATAGTCTACTCCTTCCGCCTTCAAATTTTTTCTCTCTTGCTATATTGGTTTTTTTTTATTTCTTGTTCACTTCTAAAAGTAGCTGACAAAGATTATGTAAACTTCTTAAGCTGTCATTGGTTGTGATAAAGTTATACACTAGATAAAGATCTTTTTACTTACTACAGAATTAATGTATTAGTTAGGGTAATTTTGGAAGATGATAAGTATTTACATCTTTGTAGACTTATTAAATACTATGGAGTAAACTACGAATATGCCATGGTATAAGCCGTCCTATGAGAGATATGTGGTAATGAAGTCAAACTAAATTACTCACTATTATTTTAGAAGCGAGTAGGGAAATTCTGTAATTTCCATTTGAGTGCTATGTATAACCCTAAGTATTTTACATTTTTACTTAATAGCTAACTCCTGTAATAGTTTCCATTAACTGATGATGCCCCTAATTGATACCCCTGATTCCAGGCACACTCTTAAAAGTTGGATTTTCCATTGGGACAAACATTTTGGATGGGGTGAGTACCTTTTCCAAAAAAAAAAAAAAAAAAAAAAAAAATTGATAGGTGTTGGAAACTTCCCACAAAACTTCTCATAACATTCAACACATAGAACACATAATTTTTATCGTAAGTATAAACAAAAACCAACTTAAATCATAAGAAACCTTCTGAAACATAAACCAAGTAATAGTAGGAAACTTAATTGTTAGATAAACTTAATTAACTCCTAATCCTCCTGTGCCTATTTTAAAAAGTAATGTAAAAATAATAAGAATCCCTTCTCTGGTTTGCATTGTATGACCAAAATATTTTGGATCTAGACTTCTATGGTAAGTGGGACATAAATTCTATAAAAATGCCTTCTGGAACCAAAGAAGTCTGCAAATTACATTAACACTAGTAACTAGTTACACTATTTTTTCTTTTGTGGCTCCAGCCTCCAGAATATAACCTTTGCGTACCTTGCAATATAGTTTTGATGGCATAAAATTCATGGCTTTGTTTAGGGACCGTATGATTTACCTGATGGTGGATCTTTTTACTTTTTGTTTGTACAAGCCTCACATAGTTATGGCATGAATTTTCTGGTGGACTCTTTGATTGCAGAAATTTGGCTGCTGGGAGAGTTAGAAGGATCATTCACACTTTTCTACAAGAGCAGAAATGTAGCAGTAACAAGTTGGACCCCTATTCTTCGTACAATTTTGTGAGAAAAAGCTATGCTTCACATAATTTTTCTGAAGCAAAATATCTTATTACCAACAATGGAAAACGGAAAATGCATAGTTTTTCGTCCAGCTTTTTATTCTCAAATGAAGCAAAAGTTGCTTGGAGAAAGCTTTTATATGTGCAGACTAATGGGGGACAAGCTCTTTCTCATATTAACAAAGCCGCTGCTGCTGTATGTTTAGCTTTGAGCCGTTATCAACTTCTTGCTCCTAGTATACTTGCTTTAATAGCTGGGCAGTTTTCAGGTGGACAATTTAAGTGGACTCATGCAGATTGCTTACCAGCATCCAGCACTCTGTATGATCATGCGCAAAATGGACATGTTTACTTGGCATCCTTTGCCTTTTCACTGGTAGAGGCTATTATTATATTTCTTAGGGCAATCTATCTAGCAATTATATTTTCACCTTGTGTAGTTATGGCTCCTTTCACCAATTCACTTGGTGTAGAATTTAGAAAAACCTGGCTTAGTATTCTTCGCCGCACCCTGGAAAAGGGTGGTCCAGCATTCATTAAATGGGGACAATGGGCTGCTACAAGGCCCGACCTTTTCCCTCAGGATATTTGCACAGAACTCGCACAGCTGCATTCCCAAGCACCAGCACATAGCTTTGCCTACACAAAGCAAACAGTTGAGAAGGCATTTGGCCGCAAGCTAGGTGAAATTTTTGAAAAGTTTGAAGAGGAGCCTGTTGCATCTGGGAGTGTTGCTCAGGTTCACCGAGCTACTCTTAAATTTCGTTATCCTGGTCACCCAATGAAGCCTAAGCTAGTTGCTGTGAAGGTTAGGCATCCTGGTGTTGGTGAAGCAATTCGTAGAGACTTCATGATAATTAATGTCTTTGCTAAAATTTCAAACTTGATACCAACATTGAAGTGGTTGAGACTGGATGAAAGCTTGCAACAGTTTGCTGTATTTATGATGTCTCAAGTTGATCTAGCAAGAGAAGCTGCACATTTGAGTCGATTCATCTATAATTTCCACAGATGGAAGGATGTTTCATTCCCAAAGCCTCTCTATCCTTTAGTGCACCCAGCGGTTTTGGTGGAAACTTATGAGCATGGCCAAAGTATCTTGCATTACGTTGATAAACTTGAAGGACATGATAATATCAAAACATCACTTGCTCACATTGGGAGTCATGCCCTTCTAAAAATGCTATTGGTATGATGCTATACTCTTAAATCAACAGGTTTTTTAGTTTCCTTTTGTGAATATATCTCTTTTTACTCTCCCTTCATTATTTTGCACAAACAAAAATAACTTTTATTAAGAAACTTTTTGCCAAATATGAAGAGATGTATAGTCTTCGGATGCAGATCAAAGTTTGTAAAACATGACCTAAAAGCATTACTCCCATTTTCCTCTCCCTTGATTTCTGGTTGAGGTTGTTTTGGCTGTAAAGTTATAAGGCCACCTTTTAACCTTAAAGTTGTGGATTCAACTGCTAATTCTGACACAGCCTGGGTTGTTTTTAGGGGATTGTATATCAAATCCTTTGTTGACTTGGGCCTGCCAGAGGCAGCCAGCAGCCCACTAGGACCCAGCATATCTTACAAATGTATCTACAGTATATATTCTTATGATGAACACCTTCTAGTTATGTAGCACTCCTCCCCCATGTTATGAATCAGCATATCGAAGTATATGATGAAGAGCTGAAATGGTGATTTTGTTTGATAAAGCTGAAACTACAGAAGTTAAATATAGATGTCAAGTATTCATGAGACTTGACACTCTCCCAAAGCTAAGTAAAGCTTAAAACAAATTTCTCATTTCTTCTCATGACCCATTCTTTTCCTATCCTCTGTTTAAAGACTTACTGATTTTTATTTCCCTCTAACTTATCTTCTGCCTTTTTTACAAGTTTCCTAACTAAAATATAGTGCAATTCTAGTGTACCCCTTGTAGTGCTGGTTCTTTACCCCACCCCACACTATCTTTATAATTACTTCTAGAAAAGTAACTTGGAGGGACATGTTTCTTCCTTCTTCCCTTTTAATTTACAGGCTTCCAAAAAATAAATATGCATATTCTTTAACAAATTGTATCTAAAATTTAATATTAATATAATATCTGTACCAGCTTCAGCAAGAGGTTTGGGGATTTTGTTACTTTTTCATCCACAATGTTTGATATGTACCAAATTCTTTCTCAACTTGCATGTTGTCCTGCTCTGTCTAAGAATAATATAATTCTCATTACCAATATCCACACCACCGAATAAGAAGGAATTGCTGAAGAATTAAAAAAATAATGTACGTGATTAAGAGTAAAGGTGTATTATGTTTCTTAATGGTTCTGCTATCAGTAAACTCCTCTAAATCCATCAAGTGGTTTCAGCTTTATAACATGCTTGCTATAGAGTGCTTGCTACTGCTTATTGTGTCAACTTTGGCCTTTGGGTCTTTGTTTCCAGATTTCATTTTCTGAAGTAATAATTGTTGCTAGAATGCTATCAGAGGAGTCTGTTTGTTGCCTTTGTATTCAGCATTACTTATAGCATAGCTAACATTACAAGACTGAAGATTAAGAAATCTTTTTGGGACAAGAAAATGAGTGTTTAGGGAAGATACAAATCAATATTTTTGTGACAAAATTTGAGTGTTTTGGGGCAGAAAATGCTGTGGTAAGCACTAGTAGTGCTGACTAAGGAAATAAGCTCTCTGAGTTGCTCCTAAGTTGTGGCTTGTTTTCATCAAAAAAAAAATGTTGCTTTAAAAATATTAGAATGTAACATTTTAACCCCATCTGTAATAGCTGATTTGAGGTGCTAGCAACTGTCTTACACCATACGCTTGAGAGCTGATTACAATCTTATTATTTATCTGATCATATCAACGCAAAGTACCTTTAAAGTTCAGAAGTTTTGTTTATTCTGATTGCAATCAATGTTATTGCTGTAAGACTGATTTATATTAATGAGACATAGGATGTGTTTGCAGGTAGACAATTTTGTCCATGCTGACATGCACCCAGGAAATATACTTGTCCGGACAAAAAAGAGAATCCCTGGGAATCAGCTCTTTGAATCAAGACCGCATGTTGTATTCCTTGATGTAGGCATGACTGCTGAACTTTCTAAAAGAGATAGGGTGAATATACTGGAGTTTTTCAAGGCTGTTGCTCTTCAAGATGGTCGCACTGCTGCTCAGTGTACTCTACAGTTATCAGAAAACCAAAATTGCCCAAATCCCGGGGCTTTTGTTAAGGTAATTTAACTTGATACTGCTTTGGTAATAGATGTCAGCTGTCAAAATTAATGAGTCAAGTTGGTTTTCCTAGTTAGCTCCTGCTATTGAGTGCTAGTGTTTGGTCAAGTTCCCTCTTTCAATTATCTAGTACCTAATGTTCTGTGTGATTTATCTTCAATGTTGCCTATGTTCCAACTCTTCCAAGCTAATTCCCTCATAAAGAGATCTATATTGTATCTAATTGGTTGTGCAGCTCTACATTTTCTGTGAAGTAGCTATGTGTGGAAATTGCTTTTACACAGTCTCCTTTGACAATGTTCAAATCCTGCATATCTGCACCAAAGAGATCATTTTTTTCATGCAATATTTCTTTTGCAATTGCTTGATGAGGCAACCACCTCAACCTGATATTGGGAAGTCACTACCATTCCCTACCATCTCATAGTTTAAGAGATGTCTGGAACACGTATAGGGTATACAGATTGATGTTGTCATTTTTTTTGAGACAAATAAGTTCCACCCAATTAAATCAAAGCCATATGATCTGTGGTCAATCATATAACTGTTGAATGTTCATCAGGCCAAATCAGTTGCAAGGGATCATCAGGTTCTAGATATCCACATTTGCTTTCTAAGAAAATTCTTTTAAGGTTTGGCTTTCATACAGGCACAAAAGTGATTTTACATTTTGAGCAAAACCACCATGTTTCACTAAGAAAACCATTACGCTTCATTTTGTAAAACTTTGGCATGTGTACTATCTAAATGCAGAACCTTCTTTTGCATAAATATCTCAAAAGCATGATGCTGTTTGACACTGCAGTAATTTTAATACATTGGTTACAGGAAGTAGAAAAACAGTTCAATTCCTGGGGCTCACCTGAGAGCTCGACTTTACATGCTGCTGATTGCATGCAGCAACTTCTGGAACTGGTTCGGCACCATAAAGTTAACATTGATGGAAATGTTTGTACTGTGATTGTCACAACTATGGTTCTTGAGGTAATCTTTGGCTCTATCTTTTATGCTTCAAAACTTCCTTATTCGGATCTCATTATGTCCGTATAGGTTTTTTTGTTTTTAAAAGCCTATTAAGTATAATGGCAGGTTTTTCTACAAACTGGTGTATGTTGCTCTTTGTAGCCTGCGTCTTTACAAATTTACAGTTCTACAATTCATTTTTTCTGTACCTTACAAGGCTTTTGTAAACAGAGTAAGTAGGAGGGGCTACTGTAGTGAAGCTTACCATTTCATGAACCATTTATGTTGTGGTTGACTATTTAATAATAAAAAAAAACAAAAAAAAAATGAATGAATAAATAACTGAATGTAGCGTAAGAAATCAACATGTGGTTAACTAGGTGTTTGTCATGTATAGTGAGCAAATTCTTCTGCAATGAGATCTATCAACTTCTTTTTTTTTTAGTATTCAATGAGATCTATCAACTAAATAGTAATCTTCTGCTGCGGCTTTGAATATTGGATATTCTTTTTTTATCGGTGGGAAAAGGAAAAGTACACATAAGATAGGAGTCTTCGCTGAATGTCGAATAGAACACACCCTTGAACCTTTAATGTAAAAAATAAATAAATAAATAAATAAATAAATAAAAGCACCTGTAAAGAAAAGACCTGGATTTGATGGTGGAGTTCATCACGAAGGCGCTGTACAAGGTTGACGAGGTTTACCCTTTCATATTTTGTTTAACAATTCAGGCATATCTTATATGATACAGAATGGAAATTATTTTAGCTTTGTTTGGACATTGGTTTTTGGCTGGTTCACTTGGCTTGTTTGAGCTAATATCATTGTTAATCGTCGAATGTTCATAAATATTTTTGGTAAAATCAGCTCTAAGCTATTATGACAGTTGTGTACGGGCTAGCAAAATGCTTATGAGGATTGGGTATCTGCTGGTCCAATATAGCATAAAGACTTATTCTATTCTACTAACTAAATTCATTTGATTCTGGATTTCTGGTAGTATCAATGCATAAGCATTAGCACTATGCATGTAGACTTAGTTACACATTTTTGTCGTTCTTTGGTGCAACCAACACAGCAATTATCATGTACTCACACTTTTTTCTGATATTATGTACTCTCCAGGGTTGGCAGCGTAAATTGGATCCAGATTACAATGTATTGGATACTCTGAAGGCAATGATGTTCAAAGTTGACTGGGCAGAGTCTCTAAGCTACACAATTGAAGGTCTGGTTGCCCCCTGAGTTGATGTCAACTATACTTATATGACATTTAAAGAAAATAAGAAAAACAATTTTGATTCATACATATTATGACTAGAATTATAGAATCTCTCTTTTAGAATAGGTTGGCAAGAGATGATGGCATCTTTACAAGTTGCCTGCAATTTTCAATTTTGTTCCATAGTGTACAATATGATTGATCTTGGTGAAACACCAAAATTTTATTCATGTATATGATCTCAAATTTGAACGAATAAGTGACAATGCGTGCTCCTTTGATCATGTAATTTTGAACTTTTTGAATTAATGAGAAATACCTTTGCTTCAAAGTAATATTTACAAAACTATGAACGTTTCACAGGCAAATTTATTTTCGGCATTTTTATCTGTTTATATAATGTTTTTTCCTTTTGCTACTCGTTTGATTCTGAACATAGGCACATAAGTGAAAGAGCACAAAACTTTAAGACTTGCCTGATACCTCACTGTTCGGAATTTATTTTAATTATAATTTTTTTTCGAAACCTTATAGCTATTTTCCATGGGAGGATAGGGACAAGTGACTATAGTATAGCTTATACAGTACTTTTTTCGTTCTTTAAATACGAAAGAGTTAGCCAACACTATGGCTATCCTTCATGGAGCCACCTGATCGCTGCAAGGATGGTGCTCATGAGCCTCTGTTAGGCTCCCCGTTGTCTACTATAAACACTTTTATTTATTGCTCTTTATATCAGTCTTTTTCTCAGCTTTCAAACTATGCTACTGTTTTTTTTTTCCGGCTTCTAAGCTTCTGCTGGGTGGCATGCTTGCAAATATTTCAATGTTTGCTTCATGCCTTCCCCTTTTGTCTGTAAGCTTTGGTTTTTCAAGGATGGACCATAACATCCTTATGTAATATAATCCTCGTCGTTCATTTTTAATAATAAAAATACGAAGTATTACGTTCTCCAACCTCTGTTTCTAAATATTTGCCTCTTTTATCTGTTTCTAAATATTTACAATATTTCCTTATTCCTATTTTAGCATAAGACCACTGTTATTTTAATGTTTCTCCAACCACCAATTCTTAATTTGTTTCTTTCTCCAATAAACGTCTAAAAATACTTTAATTAACCTCACTTGTACATTAATTTAATGAAAATTTGAATTTTACTACCACTAAAAAGCACCATTTTAATTTTTACTACCTATTTAAACTTCATTTTATTTAACTACCCACTAAAACTGTAAGCAGGGCCCACACGTCAACTATTAAAAAAAAATTCCTCAATTTGTGAGCCAAATGTTCCATTAAAGTAAAGGTCATTTTAGCCCTTAAGGATCCTATTTAATCTCGAAATTGGCAAAAAAAATAACATAAGTCTTACCTATTATGCCATCTTGTTGAGTGAGACAATTATATACATTCCTGTGCGCCTCTTTCGCACCCCAAATTATATAATCTTGAGTAGAGCAAGTTAGGGAGTATTTAAAAACGCGAAGTCCCTGCCAAACAAATTGTTCTAGAGATGCTCAGATTGCACACAGCATAATCAAGTAACATTAGCAATTCAAACTTGTAAACTATAGCAATTAAATTCAATCTAAGCAAAGAATCAGCCTTGATTCGACTTTAAGCCTTTTAATTGTGTTATATCATGCAGTTGATCACAGGTCAATTGCAAGGTTTGCTATAAACTCAAAAATTCACTACAATTGACACCCGAATACAATTTCACTATGAATGCATGCTAAATTCTAAGGTAGCAGTTTGTCAAATATCCTTCCCAAGGAAGCTACTTCCTGCCTCATATAAGCAGAGAATATAGCAAAATTTGTCAACATAACCTTCTTTTCCTGCCCGCAATGTATAATAGAAATTTGCTTCCCTAGAACGTTGACACGAACTCAGAAATGAATCACATTTCAAGTAGCCTGCATCACGGAGCCAATTGACTTTGGAAGAAGATAGTCATAGTCCTTCGGCAATCACAAAGCTAACAGCTAGATCTATCAAAGACCGGATGATCTGTTGAATATGGACTTGCTTACATCATCAATCAGCCAGTCTCTCAAAGAAGTACAAGTATCCCATATCCTTTGGAGGATTGACAGAAGCTCCAACTTTCTCGTCATTGTATAGTACCCATTTGCCATCTTTGTAGATGTGAGCAACATAATGACCACAATGAGTTGAAGTTCCCATGTGACTCACAAATCCAAGAAGCCGGTATCCTGTATTTCAATCAGTAAGCTCTCTTGTAATTGAATGTATTAGCATTAAAGTCTAACTATTGGGAATATTCATATTAGCAAGGCTAAATTTTATAGCTAATTTTTATATAGGCAATTTACTGGTTCAAAGAACAACCAAGGCTAATTTTTATAGCTCATTTGGAAGCTCGGTTGCACCTTACCCCTGTTGCAAGGTACAACCGACGGTACTACTGGTTGCACAGGGAAGATTTTGATTAACTTATCAGATAGAAAATTGCTTCAGATATTTTACTCTGCCTGTCCTCTTTAAAATTGCCTCTGGAAAACACTGACAAAATTCTCATTTAAGTATTTTTTTTTTCTTTAAAACAAATTCTGAGAAACAAACAGAAATCAAAAGCTCAGCAAGACAGACAGTGTATATATTTTGATCAGGATCATGTGGGTTGCCAGCCTTAACAGGTATTTTTCAATTTCTTAATCACTGTGCTCGCTTGAAAAATGATATGAAGAAAAAAAAGGTTAATATACCTTTTTTTTTTTTTTTTTTGAGACGAGATAATATTCTAGATATTAGGATTCAGTAAAAATAACAACCAGGCAGGCAGGAAAATCTATGCTGACAATTACGTGGATACATGAGGATGAGTAAAGATAACTTACTTCCTGACCCATCTGGTAGCTCGGCATCAGCAGCTGCAGCGCCACTGCTTGATGTATCCATGTCTGAGGTAGATGAAGAATTAGGATTGTTAAATATCCAGTCAGTTGCTTTTTCAATATCTCCACCCTGAACAATTATCAAATAAAGCAAGTTTAAGGTCACAATAGTTTTAGCAGCACAGAACAGAGATGCACAAAGCCACATGCAACACCACCATACCATAGCCGTAAGAGCCTTCCGAGCAAGTTCTTCTTCGAAACCAAATGAAATTAATACTTCAACACTTGATTGATCAACATAAACAGCAGCATTTTGAGATGTATGTGATATAGGATCATTGATATCTGACAAGAGAGTAAAGGAATTAAATTCAGACTATTTACAGCTGTCAGAAATTGCAAACTGATAGTTGATATACTTCAATGATACATTCATACAGGTCAAGCATATGCCATATCATATAAAAATATATGAAGTATATAATACCACTTACCAGAATCATCCATGTGAGTAAGCAGCCAGTTCATTGCCTCTTCAACTCCAGCATTGTTAGTAAATATGGCAGCTTTTTCACAAGGTAATCGGCCAAAACCCATGGAGAGAAGCTGAGAAACAATTAGCTCATCGGCTACAAGTCTAGTAGACTCTGCTTCAGCATCACCTGCTGCAGATTGATATCAAACAAAATATACATTAGAAAATCATTGGCCGTCTCCATTAATAAAAAAGAGCATGCACATGTGCACAGGAAGAACAAGAATATCCCCACCACTTTCAGGTAAAAGCTCTTCTCCAGGTCGAAGGCCATTGCTCCGCATGTGACTGATGTCTATAATATCAGGTACATCTATGTAGACATCTATGATGCAAAACAGAGAAAATTTGTTAGTCACAAAAATCAACCACTCATTAAAAATTATCAGGATATTCGCAAACACGAAAATGAATACCAAGCTTTTTCGGCACCCATCCATCTTCCATAACAAATTTTCTCATGTGCAAGACCAGATAATCAGGAAAGGATGTTAGACCAGTAGTTCTGCATAAAAATTATTTGACAGATTAGAGTATAATTACATGTTACAGCACATGTAAAGATGCAAAACAAACAACAATGTTTCCTTTAATTTAACCATAAAGTGCCTTGGACCCAAACATATCTTCAAAAAAAGGGAACCACATTGTAGCATGTCCTATTTCTTATGTTGCTGAGCCATTGGATGGTTCAGATACAAGGAACCAAATTTTGGCCAGATGATATTAAACATCTCATGAAAGGGTAATATTCAGATTCAGTTATCAATAATTGAAACAAGGTTTTACCATGGTGAAAAATGATGAACCAAGGACACTAAAAGTATATGTAAGCATTAATTGATACATGCATTACCACAACTCTGCAAATGACAGATATGCATGTTAAATCATAGAAACCAGCCAAGCATATATCACCAAGCTTGACCACGTGAAGCTATCATATACGAAGTAGAACATTAACAAAAGAGACCTACAATATGTTCCATTTGGCCCACAAAGATTTTCATGGTTTCCATATAAGAATGCCCCAAACATTTTGCAAGTTCCTTTTATGGTATTCTAAGTCTACCCAAATGTTCCTACTATGACTTTCTCTTACTATTTCTCTCATACCCAATATCTTTACTCTATCCACTTTTAAATTTGTATTTAACTTTAACTGTTCTTATTCTCACTATCTTAATGCCAAAGCAACTAGGCACATATTTGTGGGATGAAAGGAGAAATAACTACTAAATTATGCTACAAACTTGGCTTTAAAAAGCGCTCAAGGTGCGCCTTGGCGCCAGGCGAGTGAAGGCGTGGGCCACGATACAATACACAAGTTGGGATATGTGTACCAAACTAAAACAAACATTGAGATGTTTTTACCTAAAATGTCAATTTATTAATTGTAAAATCTGAGATGAAGTACTAAAATTACTTAAAACATCATAAGCTTGTAAAAATGTTTATGGGGCCTAAACTTCCACAAAAGACCCAATAAAACACAATTTTTTTTTTTGAAAGAGTAATGAACATGATATTTCTGCATTTTGTAACCCAAATCATCATAAAAGACAAAAAAAACAGTTAATGATGCAGAGATATACTACCTCCGTTAACAGTTATCTGCAACATTTACCAAAAAAGGGTGCTAACTATTATTTGCAACAAACTTATTTCTTTCCTATTTTAGTAACATTTTTCTGTCAGAATGACCAAAATACCCTCACTTAAAAATTATTACCACATAATACTACACATAATTACAACTCATTATAACCCTAATATGAATTAATTATCTAAATCTTCCCACCTAAATAATCAGATTATCTTTCTCTCCTTCATCTTTCTCTCTCCTCCTTGATCTTTCTCTCTCCTTCTCACCAACCACGCC